ATAATAAGTCAAATATTCTTTCTGAGGTACTCATAAGGGAGGGGGTAAAACCTGTAAATTTAAGAGTAATTTCAGATTGTAAATGAAAAAGAGAGGCACGACTGTTCATTTGCACCAATCATGCCTTCCTTTCATCTGCTCTGATTAGGCCTGGTGCGGTTTCATCAAACTACTCCATCACTGAGCTGTCACTCCAGCCGTCTGTTGATTGAAAACAATCAGGGCTCTGATGGCACAATTATTCTGACCCTTTAACTAGAGGCTGCTGTGATAATGAAAGGTTGATTATGATAGTTTGTGCCTCTTTCAGTTTGCCAAGAAGGTTAATTTGGGCATCAGACGGATGTTTAATGGGCGCTTGCTGGCTACACTGAGGTAAATGAGAACGTGCAGCCTTCGATATTGCATGGATATAGTTTGGCTGTCAATCATTGTCATTTTGAGTTTGTGCCTTGCACTCTGGAAATCGCATTTTATTTTTTTTTCCTTGGGATTTAATTTATTCTGTGCCCTGAGGAAGTTCTTTCACTCTATGACCTTCACTGTAGCTTTTTCTCTGCCTTTTTTTTTTTTTTTGCTTCCCTTCCCCTCAGATTGTGCTCAAAGGCACAACAGATCTAGTAGAACACTTCCCCACTCCTTTTAATTTTCTCTTTACTTTAGTATGGTTGTTTATCACCTGTGTCTGACACAGTAATTTTCAAAAAATTGTTGTAGAATAAGAGTGTCGAAAATTATTGTGCAGCTTACTTGCTTTAAATAGCAGTACATCTCACATGATGTTGATGGGGCTGGGTGAGGTGATATGCATGTGCATATAGACATACCTTTGTAAAACAAAAGTAATTTAAAAATGCTAGCTGAATGATCACCCAGGAATAGAATAAAATATTCTCTCTCTCTTTCTTCCTCTCTCCCGCCCTGCCCGTGCACTTGCGCATATGCGCACATGCGCGCGCACACACACACACACACACACACACTCGCAAATGAATAAACAGACAACCCTACTTTATATCAGGGTAGGAAAAATGGTACCTTCCTGATATTTTGGACCATCACACTGATCAGCCCCTGCGAACATGGCCAATGGTCAGTGATCATGGGAGAATCAGTCCAAGTATCTGAATGCACAAGGTTGCCTTTGCTTGCCTTAAATGACTGTCACATTTCATCCAGTGCTGTACCTAAGAATTCCAGGTCTGCTTTTCATGGTAACAGTTGCACCACTTTGAGTTATAGGTCATACAATATTTCTGGTGCAACCAAAAGATGATGATTTATTCTTTTTTCCTTTGGCTTCCTGTTACTTCCATGTAAATCAAGCCTCCTCAAACTTTTTCAACAGGGGGCCAGTTGAAAGGTGCCAGAGATGGGCGCAGGCCACCAAGGCAGTGTGGGCGGGGGGGGAGGGCGTAGGCCTGGCTGGGGGGGCATACGGACGTGGAGATCCTTTTCTCCGAGTGAGTCCAAAACAATCTCTGTATGAGCAAGCCGGCATGCACGTGGCAAGTCCAAAACCTCTATGGCGGACCTGATAAATGGGCATGGTGGGCCAGATCCAGCCCGCGGGCCATAGTTTGAGGACCCATGATATAAATGATCACTGGTACTGTGTCTATAAGCTTTGTTCGAAGGAGCAGGTTCATAACTTGGGGTTCTCCTGGAGTCCTCTTTGACATTTGGGAGACTGAGTGGCCTCAGTAGCCTAGAACGTCTTCTACCAGCTTTAGCCACAATCCTATTTCAACAGAAATAGTGTGGCTTCAGGAATCTCTGCTCTGATAATGCAGTGCACCCTATATGGGATTGTCTTTGAAACTGTTTGGAAGCTGCAGTTTATAAAAAATACAGCAGCTATACTACTGACTAGGACTAGAAATTCCAAATATATAAGACTAATTCTGCCCTTCTTGTATTGGCTGCCCATATATTTCTGAGCCCAATTCAAAGAGGTAGTTTTAATTTATAAAGTCATACATGGCAATAACTGATGGAACACCTCTCCTGACCTGAATATATCTGGAGACTATGATAAATGTCTGAGACTTTTCTCTGAATGCTACTTCCAAAAGAGACTTGGAAGAGAAAACAGGAAGAAGGCGTTCTTTGTGGTTGCCCCAACTGCTGCTTGTGGAGTGTTCCTTGTAATGAGGTATGCTTGGTACCCACAATGTCATCTCTTTAGATAAGACTGCCCTCTATCTCCAGACATTTAATGGCATATGAGGGAACACATCAGCTGTTTTACCACATTTCTGTCTCTGTTACATGATTTTACTACATAAATTTCTGAACTATTTCTCAAACTAATTCAAACTAAACAAATTCAAACTAAACAAATTCATACTAAAATGATATATGTTTGCAAACATAGGAACTGTTCAACTTTATTGGACCATTATAAAATAGAGATGATGTTAGAGCAATTTTACTAGTACAATAAGTTTCTTTGGCTTCCCCCTTACATGATGAGAAATTAAGCTAGGAAGCTTCTAATTAACTGTAGTCCACCGTATCGTCCAAACTGGGGAAACAGAGGTTACCAGCTTTGGAACATACCAGAATATCAAACCCCCTTTGTGCTTAGTATCTTGTCTTGTTATGAAGTACAGCTTCATGGTTTGAATGAAATTGGAAATAATGGTTAATTAGAGGCTTTCTAGTTCAAACATGTATTTGCATATCTTGCAAAGCATATCTTACTTAATAAACTGAGATAACTGTCTGAACCAAGACAATACGAAGAAGAAAGTTCTACACTTATGTGGTTTGTGTCATTTCAAGTCATCTCATTGCTTCTGTTCTTTGGCTTTCTTTGAGGCAGGTTTTATGTATTGAAGATTATCAGGCTTTTCCAGTGGCTCAGTTCTTCGGTCTGTAGACCATATCTGCATCATATTTGAGCTTTTTACCTGTTCTGGAAATAATGAATCAATATTAATATCCACTGTGAATGAATCTCAAGAAGCCTTATTTATATTCTAATTATTCTAATGATAAAATGCAATCTAATTTGGGTTAAGCGGTTAGTCATAAAGGGTCTTGACCTTGCTCATGAAGGAAGACATATGTGACCTTCAGCTCTACAGTTATAAGGCTAGAAAATATGTTCTTAACAATAACTGCTTGCTGTTCAAATGCTGTTAGACTGAATCCAGATTAAGTTACCCATGCTCTGGAGCAACTGTCACTGGTTTGCTAATTTATTATTCCTCCCCAGAAATGTGCACAAATATTTTGTTTAACGTTTGCCAGTCTTTCAGAGGTGTGCAAGTGTGCAGTTGTGTTGGTCAGATTGGTTCATGGCCTTGCGTTGTCTGTCAAGGCAAGTGAAGTGCAGTTGGTAAGTAAGATAGAAATTGACAAAGTGAAACAGTCTACAGACATATTTGTGCACAGCTGCTGAGCTGGGCAAGGAAGGTGAATGATAAAGGAGAAAAGTGGAAGAGGTAGGTGCAGCAAAAAGAGAGTGGCAGCAAGATCTGCCCCTTAGCAATGTAATTTTCTCAATTTCAAGTGCTGAACTGACAGTTCTCATCTTCCTCCACATTTTCTACACTTTCCTGGGTCTCCAGCCACTCCAGAAAGAAAAGATACTAACACCGCTCCTTTGCTTCTGTTTCCTGACAGACACTTCTAATAACAACACCTCTGAGAAAATGGCTGAATGGAACTGAGTAAATTGGGTCACACTGGGGGAGGTGGGTCCATGTCCTGCCGGTTCTGGTGCCCAGCCATGAAATCCATGCACAGTTCCCCTCTGTTTATTCCCCACCCATGGAATATTTCCCAGTTAAAAATCCAGTTAAACAACAACTGCTAATCCAACAGTTTGTTCTTTCTAAACAAACCCTTAGAAGTAACAGAATGGAATAGAGCAGGAAGGACACCACTACTAGTGGGATTCACTCCCCCTGCCACCTACCCAGAGTGGTCACATTCACCGCATTCCATTCAATCGGCTTTTCAGAACTTTTAAAATGTCAGGGAAACACTGTAATCACATCAGCAAGTGCTCTGAAAAAGAGCTGTAAAAAGGGTGGTGTTACTACCTTTTCTGTTCCCCTGCTTCTCCCACTTTACCTGTGATTTTCAATTGGCAGTTCAGCAGTGGTGCTCAATGAGCCTACATGCCATCTCGCCTTGTCAATTTCCATTTGTGTTAATACCAGCTGCACTTTGCTCCCTTTGAAAGCAGAAACTTACAGGACATCAACCAGGCAAGATTTTTTGTACGTAAGTGTAGTCTGACAGACTGCCCTCCCTGCAAAATATTACAAAGATATTCACATTTCTGGACCAAACATTAATAAAATACAAGGAGGAGAAACAAAAAACAGAAAGTGGTGATTGGCGCAGGGAGGATGCTCCTGCTATGAAGGAGACGAGGGTCCTGTCTGGAGGACAAGGGGAAAGAGGGAAACTAGTCCTTGGTAAGCCTAATGGTCTCATGTACACCAAGGGTTGTTCTGTGAATAACCAGCACAGTGTGGCTCATCTGCAGGATTGCTTAGCATGTTGTAACAACCCATCCTTTGTCTCTTATGAGCCAAGTTGCAATGTGTTCACAAAGATCCCTCTTGAACACTGGTAGTATGACAAAACTGAGAAGAGAGCTGTTGTGCTGTGTATGTACTACAGAGCTTTGGATCATGACTGTTTTGTTTTCTATTGATTGATTTCTGGTGTGATACATTATTATTTAGTCATTATGAACATCTGCAGTATTGTTAGTTATTATCACACATCATCTGTATACAGCTATATCCTTAACCATTCAGAAGATACATCAGTGAGCAAAAAGTCAGCATAGCCCTGTTAGTATGTACTGACAGTCATTATAAGTTGGATAAAGGGGTACTTTTATGTATACAGTGGATTAAATTTGGAAGTGTATTTTATGTTGAGAAGCTGAATAATGCAAATATATAGTACTTGCACTGAAATTTGGACAATGTAGATAATTCTATTTTTAATTTTTTTTTCTTCCCTACTAGCTAGCTGTAAGGTGGTTAGAACATAACTGCCGGTATCAATACATGGATGAACTTCTGCAGTATGTTCGGTTTGGGCTTATGGATGTGGATACATTGCATGCAGTAGCCCTCTCTCACCCTCTTGTTCAAGCTAGTGAAACTGCAACAGCACTCATCAATGAGGCCTTGGCATATCACCAAAGCATCTATGCACAACCCGTCTGGCAAACCAGAAGGACAAAGCCTCGCTTCCAGTCAGACACTCTTTACATCATTGGTGGGAAAAAACGGGAGATCTGCAGAGTTAAAGAGCTCCGATACTTCAATCCTGTGGACCAGGAGAATGTTCACATTGCAGGGATTGCAAATTGGAGTGAACTGGCTCCCATGCCAGTAGGAAGAAGCCACCACTGTGTTGCTGTAATGGGAGATTTCCTCTTTGTCGCAGGAGGCGAGGTTGAGCATGCAACTGGGCGCACTTGTGCAGTTCGGACTGCGTGTAGATATGACCCTCGTCATAATTCTTGGGCTGAAATAGCTCCTATGAGGAATTGCCGTGAACATTTTGTGCTCGGAGCTGTGGATGGATACCTCTATGCTGTAGGAGGCAGAAATGAGCTCCGTCAGGTCTTGCCTACAGTTGAGCGGTACTGCCCCAAGAAGAACAAATGGACTTTTGCCCAGTCGTTTGACAGATCTCTCTCCTGTCATGCCGGATATGTTGTGGATGGTCTTCTTTGGATATCAGGTAGAAACCCGTTTTGTGCATGATTTGAGGGACTAAGTTGACAAATTGTCAGGCTGGTTGGTCTGGGGTAACATGCCTTGAAAGGGTTGGGACTAGCTTACATTTGCAGAAGATCAAGGTTGCAAAAAACAAGTGAAGATGGAAAGAAGAGTGTAGGCAATGCGGGGCCTGCAGGCATCCAAGTATCCCCAGACACCCTTCTGGATTCCCATCAAGGCTCCCTATCTCAGCCACTTAACCTCCCTCCCCCACACGTTGTTAGTACTTGGGATTGTTGTGAAATAGGTTTGTTCTGGTTCCAAAATTATGGGTTCAAAGGAGATGTTTACGTATGTTGGGACTCAGACCTAACATCAGACTTGTATTCAGATCTTTTGAGACGGTTACTTGTCCTTTGCCATGGCTTCTGTGGCAGTGTCCACACGGTTTTTCAACGTCAGATATACCTGCAGCTGAAAAAGGTCACCTACCCATTATATAATTACTTTGAACCATAGGCATTAACCTCAAAGGAGAGGAGTAACAAGGGGGAATGGATCAGCTACAGAACTACATAAATAGATAATTCAGATGCAGTGCCTAAAGATTTTTTTTCTCCAAGCAACAAAATTGGAATTTCAAGCCCAGTTCAAAAAGACTTGTAGTGGCATGATTGAGTAGAAAAAAATGTATGTGTAATTATAGTATGGATTCAAATGCTGTGCAGTCATTTGTATACAATTGAATAGAAGTAACATCTTATAAAATTGAGACAGTGGGTGAGTTTTAAGAGAGGAGATGGATGTGGAGCCGTGCACGGAGTGAGCACGGACAATGCTGGGACATGGGTGGCCTGTGGAATAGAAGAGTGGGGGCACTGACTGGCCGCAGAAAGGCAGCATTTAAAACTAAAAGCAACTATGAGGAGGCAGTTTACAAAAATGATCCTATTTTATACTAGAGTTGGGAAGATCAGTACTTTCCCCAAAACAAGACCGTCTTTCACCTATTTCTTCAAAATACTAAGTGGAAATAGAACTGACAGCTTGCACCCATATCCATAAAATTAATTGAGTGATTAAAATTGGACAAAGCATTGGATCTGTTGGTGTGACTTTCTCTTTGAGAATGGCTCATGTTCCTTAGCAGCGAGTGATATTCTAAGACTTTTTATGGATGATGTCCTTTTTATAGCAAAGAGTAATAAAAGGAGCATGTCAGAAGTGTATTCGGGACTTGTCTTACGCATCTGTTGACAAGTAATTTTGAGGTTTCATAGAATGCTAAATTTTTCAGGTTTTGTTAAGTGTTTGATTTGGGTGGTTCACAAAGACATGTATAGTTTTCATACTTAAATTGTGAAGCATTCAAGTAAAATGGTCAGAGAATGTACTAGAATATTACAGGTTCATGTTTAATTCTGTGTTTCTGAATGAGAAAAGCAATATGGACTATAACATCTAACATTTGAAGTGGGGGTGATGAGAAGCATACATGAGCCCCATCCAATCAAATTTCTAGGAAAACTTTTTCTTCTCTTATTAACTTTACATTTTGGCAAACTTTATGAAGGCATTGACATCTTTAGCCTATACTGTGCCTTTTAACCTGGAAACAAAAGCTGAAATAGCACACAAGTATATGAAGGGTCCTGTGTGTGTGAATGAGAGAAAGAGAATACTTTGTAGAAATTGATAGGACTAAATTGGCTTAAATCCAAACATGTCAGGCTAGTTCATTCTGGGATAATTAAATTGAAAAATTTCCCAAGTCTCCTGAAGCTCCTGCAGCATCAGTAGTCACCCTGCACTGTCACTATGCACACAGCACAAGCTTTTTTTGTTGTTTAAATGATGTTGAGTAACTAGAGACATCTTCTGGAATATAATTGCACGGGAATTTATAGTCGGTAGAACTGGAAGTCAAGGCCACCTGGTCCAACCTTCGGTTGTGTCAGGATGTGCTGATAGCAAGCCACACTCTGGTTACTGACTCTCCCATAGAAGTCTGAGGCCAGGCCTTTTTGCTCCACATGTGACATGTTTCTGCAGCGTTCCTTTGTTTCATTCATGTAAAGCCTTCTTGTCAAGATATGCAGGGCTTACATGCTATCATGATGCTTTGCTGGAGAGCTGCAGCAGGTGAAGGCTGTTCTTTCGTGGCCTGCTGCTGGCATTCTCTGTGCAGCCACTCATGAAGCAGGCTGGCCAGCCAGATGCTTCCAGGAAACCTACAAGCAACAGGGCCTGGAAGTGACAGCCTTCCAGCAATTGACGCTGAGCAGCATACCTCTTCTAAACACTTTTTTTTTTCCAATGTACTCTTTCTTTCTATCTTTCTTTGCTAGTATTTTGCTAAAGAATACCCTAAGAATACGAAAACGCTTAGTTGCATAGGAATAACAGTTGTTGTTTTTTAAAGTTTTCACAATTGGGAACATCATTAACACACAGTCACTTCTCCCCTCCATCATATCCCTAAGGATTAGGAAACAAAGTGCCCTCTAGATACTGTGGACTACAGCCACTCCCTTTAACCCTGGTCAGGGTGCCTAGGAGTTGCCGCCCAAAATCTCGAGGGCACCAGGCTGCCACCTACTCAGGCACAATATTCGATTCATGATGTTAACAAGCTGCAGCATGGAGGAGGTAATATTAAGAGGTACAATTTGCATCAAACACCACAGTTTCATTTGACTTCAAAAGAGGAAATTTCTCAACAAAAAAATAGGAACTTGTAAATAAGACATTGAAGAGGAAACTCAAGAAGTTTAAATAACTTCAAATAACTCAGAGATTACTAAAAGAACAAAAACAAAAACACCCCCTCTAATAGAGGCACAAATAGAATGCAAGCTACAAGTGAAAACAGGTAGCTCAAAATCCAGGAAATTACCAGCATGGTTAATGTTTAGAGTCAAAGAAGTGATTAGGGAGAAGAAAGCTTCCTTCTAAAAAGGGAAGGCTTGCCCAGATTTAAAACAACAACAGAAGGAACTACAGACTTGCACAAAGTAGATGCAACAATAAGAGAAGCAGTTTGGGGAGCACTTCATGAAAACATCAAGGCTAACAATAAATAATTGATGAAATATTTAAGAAAAAAAAGGAAGAAGTTGGGCCATTGGATGATAATGGAATTAAAGGAGCACTAAGTGGGGACAAGAAGATTGCAGAGAAGCTGAATGAATGTTTTTCATTAGTCTTCACAGCAGAGGACTTGAGAATGGCCAGTGTAACACCAATTTTTAATAAGGTATCCAGGGGGATGGGATCCATGAGATTCAGTGCCAGTTAGCCGAACATCTGTTATGGGTAAATTGCTTGAAAGCATCAGTAAAGATAGAAGCAGTAAGTATGTAGAAGGATAAGCCCTGCTGGAAAAAAAATCAGCATGGCTTCTGCAAGGGGAAGTCTTGTCTGACTAACTTAAGCGCTAATAAACTTGTAGACTGGGGTGACCCAGTATACATGGTTTTTTTGGGCTTCCAAAAGGCATTTGAAAAAGTCCCTCACCAAAGTCTCCTGAGCAAAGTAAGCAGCCATAGAGTACAAAAGGGGAGAACACTAAGTGGTTGAAGAACAGAAGACAGAGGGTGGGAATTAATGGCCATTCCCAGTGGAGAGATGTCACCAGGTTCTTTGGTACAACAGCACTTGGAATATTGTGTTCAGTTCAGGTTGCCTTACCTGAAAAAGGATATTATTGAGTTGGAAAAAGAATAGACAAGGGCAACAGGAATGGTAAGGCAGGTGGATGGAGCATCTCCCCTGTGAGAAGCAGCTACAACAACTCAAGACTGTTCAGCTTTTTAAAAAGGCAAGTAAGGAGAAGCATAATAGAGGTGCTTAAAATGATGCTCAGTGTGGAGAAAGTAGAGGAGGAGACATTTTTCTCCCCCTCCCATAACACTTGAACCCAGGGTCATCCCATGAAGGAGGTTTAGGACAGATAAAAGGAAGCACTTCTTCACACAGCATATGCAGAAAGTCCCCCCATATCTAACGGCTCAGTCACTGCGTTTTCAGTTAACCGCAGTTGACCTCGGCCTGAAAGAGAAGTTGTAAAGGGATGGAAAGAAGTCATAAAGTGCTTCCTGTAAGTGAAAATTCTTTATTTAATAGGGAAAGAAAACAATGTATGCTGAGGTAAGAATAAAAGAAATTGTGAAAAGGGGAATTTATATATAATACAGTGTTTGCTGTTATCTGCAGTTTCAGGCATCATCTGGGAGGCTTAGAACCAATTCACATGGATGCAGGAGTCCTGCTATAATTAACCCTTGGAATTCATTGCCATGGGAAGTTGTGATGGCCTCCAATCTGGGTGGCTTTAAAGGGGGAGTGGACACTTTTATGAGGGATGATGCTATCAGTGGCTACTAGTCTTGCTGGCTATGTGCCATCTCCTTTAGCCGAGGTGACCTGCCTGCCTGCGCCAGTTGCTGACGAGCTTGGGCAGCAGAGGTCTTGCAGCCATCCAGCCTGAGGGACCCTGTGGGCAGCTGGCTTGCCACCATGTGCTCAGAGTGCTGGACTAGATGGACTATTGCTGGTCTTGCATTTTTATGTCATTTGCCAGCTTGTACTTGAAGGAAAACTAGGTTCTTGGCTATGATATAGGATCCACATAGCATTTCTCAAGCAAGCACCCTGGCCCCTCCTAAATTCATATTTGCCTTCCAGTTGGAACCATGGGGATTTTGAAAGCTGTGTAAATTGTTTTGTGAAATTGTAAAGCAAAGGCTCTGCTGAGTTGATCTTTATTTGAAGAAGGGATTGCCTATGATTACAGGCAGTTTATGTCTGATGTTGCAAGGCAGACAGCTTAAATATTCCTGTGAATACCCTGTTGACCATTACTAAAAACAGAATACTGGACTAGATAGAACTTTGGTATGATCTAGCTTTTCGTTATGTTCTCATCCTCCTTTGCTGGAAGTACTTGGCCGTCCCCTGCATAAATTACAGAGAAACTCTGTATCCTGCTGTGTGGTGCTAGAGCAAGTATCACACCTCATGTCAAATCCATTTTAGCTCTTTGATCTAGGGCTTGGAGGACCGGTTTGGTACCCTGCTGGATAGTAAATATTTATCATATTCATATCACACTTTTTCCTGCAAGGGACCCAAGGCAGTTTACATAATCTTATTCCACCTCTCCATTTTTTCCTCACACCAACCCTGTGAGGTGGGTTAGGCTGAGATTCAGTAACTGGATACCCATGGATCAGAAACCATGAGGTTCTGATGAAGGTTTTGTACTGAACCCCCACCTTAATTCAAATTCAGCCTTTAGCGTTAATATGCATGCTTTTGAAAATCATAGGATTGCAATATATGATACACAAGGTTAGGCAACTGCTTGTGACTGTTGCTGACTGACTTCCACAAAATAGAAACAATAGACCACTTCCTAAAATTGACATAAGGCTTACAAAATAGGAAAAAATATTTCCCCCCTGTAACCACACCCCCAAATATGTTTGCCATTGGGATGGATATGATAATCCAGTAATCAGAAACCAAAAAATTTACCATCATTTACTGATGATTTTTCTCCTGCTATATTTGAAAGGCTATGAACTATTTACAGCTTCCTTGACTTTGAAAAGTCCATTATAGCCTTTATTTTTAAATGCATCCTGATGTCATTGCTTCTCCTGACATTATTATTCTCTTTCTTCTTTTTGGAACTCGGCACAGAAAAGTTAAAGGAATTGCCTTTTTGATTGTCCCATTTTACGATGGAAAACATCGCTTTTTCTGGTACCATTTAAACTTGTATTTCTCCACTATTATTATTATTATTATTTTTGGAGAAATTTTATTTCTATTCCTCCATTGCCTAGAGTAGTCTTAAAGTGGTCGCTCAAGGGGGCAATTATGGGCTTGTTAAATGCGAATTTTGGTAGGATGTTAAAAAATGAAACTTTCACTATAGCACTTCAAAGTTAGGATAAACTTGGTTTTGAAAATCGATGCTGATAGGAAATGGCATGGTTAATAGCGGAGGAATCTATAGAAAGCTGTTAAGATGCATATTATCCCCCTGGGGAGAACGTGGAGGATTGGGGTGGGAGGAACACAGAGGAGGAGAATGAGAGATCAGAACTGCCAATCTTTAAAATATACTTGTTGGCAGGGAAGGCATGGAATTGCGCTCTCTCTGCAAATGTGGTGATTGCAGGGGGCAGTGTAGCAGCATGTGGCAGCCGAACCTCAGAGCAGACAAATCAGCTTGATGACTTTCAAAGCCAAGAATTCTGCTAGAGGCAAGGGTATTTGATCTAATGGGGGTGAGGTGGGGATACAGATTAAAACTTATAGGGACCATTCTTAATTCCATTCCTACTTTATATAGTCGAATCTGTATGCAAATTCACAGCATCTCATTTTGCCCAGTGTTTTTTTTCTTAAAGAGGGGCACGATGTAAAGAGAATAACAATTTTACAGGGAGAGGCTATGTGTAAGTGCAAAAGTAGACCTGCAGAAGGTAAGTGTCCTAATTAACCTTTTGTATTAATCTTTTATTGGACAAAGTCCGACAGGCATGTCTCTTGTAAAAGCATTATGGGGATCTGTAGATTTATTCTGAAAGGGGGCTTATAGAGCAGGGATTTTGCAAGAGGCCCTCCTTAGCTGGGAAAGAGAAGTAGAAAGGTTTCTACTGATTTTTTAAAAGATGTTCATTTAAAATTATTGGGTTAAATCTCAGAGTGTGTGAGCGCAGTTTGCACAGTGAGAAATCTTCTGCCTTCCTCCTCCCTGCATGTGATCCAGTTTGTATCTGTACAGGGAAGGGAGAAGAAATGGCTTCCATGCCACCGGTGGATGGCTAGTGGATCAAATTCTTCCTTCATCCTTTCTCTGCATCTTTTTGTCATTTGGCATGGGTATATGATTCCGTTCTTGCCAGAGAAATATGTAAGCCGGAAAGTTAACATTCAGTAGTATTCCATACTACATACAAAGTGGCAACAGTTGCAGCACATTTACTAATTTTCCTTGGTGCACTTCCAACTGTGTTTATTGTTCATGTAACACTATAAATGTCTGTTACAGGAGGAGTAACAAATACAGCACAGTATCAGAACAGGCTAATGGTGTATGATCCTACCCAGGTAAGTTTTTATACTACAGGTATTCAGTTACACAAAGAAAAAAAAGTAAAACTCCTATGAGTAAAGGCACGATCACATTATTTCCAACTATCCCACTCACAACAGTATTTTGTATGAATAAATTGGCATACGGTCTTTCCCTGTGCCTTTGCAGTTCTGCATAAAGGGATGGAACACCCCAGCCTAGAGATAAATGTTTTTCCTTTCCCTCTGCTGGCAAGCTCCTCCCCAAAAACGGAAGGCGTCTTTCTGTTGCTGCTGTCATCATCTAGCAGTCCTCAAGGGTAGCCCTCCCAGGGCTTACTGACTCAATGATAACCCTCAGGTACACAGCCCCATGGAGAACACAGTTCAAGCCCCATGGCAGCTTGAAGGATGAAGCAGGATATTAATTTTGCATACAACTATTGGTCAAAAGTATGGGCCTTACTCCGAATAAAATAACTCATGACTTTGAGCTTTACATTTGCTAAAGACCCCATTTCACATTTATGAAATAGTTCACATAGTCAGAGACAGTATCCTGCAGTGTCTCAGCATGAAGCATGCTTTCTGGTTACTGCTAGGCCAAAGCCCAACCCACAAACAGTTAAAAAGGCTGAGAGTATGTGTTAGCATTCTTCCAATGAGATCTGCTTCATGTTTTTACACACATGCTCTTTTTAAAAATTCTGCTGGCATATTGTAGACGGTGGGCACTGGCAGAACCTCACATCTGCTTGTGTCTTGCACAGAATCTCAATAACTCTATCATTTGGTGCTAGTGCCTGCTTCTGCGCTAGGCCTTTGTGGAGCACTGATAATACCTACCATCTGCCACTGAGCACATAGCTACCTGCCAACAGGCAGGCTAGGGTGACCTCTGCTTCTCCACTGCTGATTAGTATTCACACACTGGCTTATTAGGAATGACCCCACCAGGCCCCTCTGTTTTTTTGCCTTTGCATCGCTTGGCGGCTTACCTGGCAGTCACTGCTGTGAAGGAAGCAAAGATATAATCAGGGGATGCAGGCAGGCTTTGCAAAGCAGATGGTGTCTATAGTTCTGTGTCAAGGGACTGGACTGTTAATGCAAATATTAATTCCTCCTAGTTGAATACTACATAGTATAATGGATAGCTATACATTATGGGGGCTACATGGAACAATGGTTTTCCAGCTCCCATCATTTCAAGCTCACCCCTTTCCATTCCTCAAATAATATAAAAATAGGTTTCAACCAAGGACTGATTAAAATACCACTTTTATTCGCCTAAGTGGTGGAACACATTTAGAAATAATGAGAGGAGCCTGGGCAAATGTGCTTTTGCTTAGGTCAGCCTTTGGATAGCATTTCATTAGTTCGGTCAGTGATGGATACTGCAAAGGCAGATACAGATAACTTTTTTTAGGTAATCTTTTGATACAGTTTATGGATATATGGATGATACGTGTTTTAAGCTGCTTTGAGCACCAGCTTCGATGTACATTTTTCTGTATATGTGAACATTAGACCAATTACTTTTGTTGATATTTGCAGAATAAATGGCTCAGTCGCAGCCCCATGTTGCAGAGGAGAGTCTACCATTCCATGGCTGCTGTGCAAAGAAAGCTGTATGTTTTAGGTGGGAATGATCTGGATTATAACAATGACAGAATTCTTGTGCGCCACATAGACTCCTACAATATAGACACAGACCAGTGGACACGTTGCAACTTCAGTATGTTGACAGGCGAGTATTTTATTTTATTTTATTTTGCAAGGTTCGGTTCCTGAAACAAGGATATTTAAAAAGAAGGCAAACAAGAAGTAGAAGAAAAGCTTATTTGTTGATCTGCAATGAATTTAAAACACATTGTTTCGTGAAATTGCTGACACTGCTTCTGAAGCAACTACCCAAAAGGGGGCCAATGCCAGCCATCCTGGAATGCAAGGAAAAGCTATTCCATTTCCATATAATTAAACTGAAGGAGTACAAGCATAAACAATTTCTGACCCACAAAGCTATATATGGAAAACTATTACGGCAGGGGTGCTGATTCATACGCTTCAACTCCAAGGTTGACTTCTGTTTCAGGGAAGCTCTTGAGGGGGACACATTCCAGGTGGGATTCAAAAATGCCAGCATACAGCAAGCTAGAGACTTACTCCCATTTCAACCTTAAACTGACACATTTCAGCCTTTTAGAATGGGGTGACACTGTACAAAAGCCAGGACACTACCAGGTGACCTGCACTTGGAGGGAAAGGGACTGGCTATCGGGAAAACACTGAGGGCCCAGTCCAGACCCCAGTTTTGCCGCTCTGTGCAAGAGGCCTAGTAACCCTTTGTGAAATAAAAACAAGAGACTGAAGGCCATAGTGCATACTTGGTGGATTAAATCATCCACTTAAATTAATAATCTGTTTACGTTTTCCATAATGTCACAGTGAAGAAGTTCTGACTTTAAGTTGGAAAAAGAAGATTAACACATTTCATACTTTCTTGGGGATTTTTTCCACTTTAGGCCAAAATGAATCGGGAGTTGCTGTTCACAATGGCAGAATATATTTAGTTGGTGGCTACTCAATTTGGACAAATGAACCATCAGCATGTATCCAGGTGAGCATTTTGGGTTCTTCTTCATGACCTCTGTGCATCACACACATGGGCTCAATGCCTGCATGGGAAACTGCCATAGCTGAAAAATGTTTGGCAAGGACTTTTCCCACCATCTGCTGAGAGCAGGTTCCCACGTATACCTCTCAGTTCCTCTTCAACCACCACTGGGATTGCCTTCTTGGGAACATTTCCCTTTCTCATCCAGTGTTCTGAGCTGATAAATTCTGTCCCTCCTTAATTGTCTCTTATTGGTCTAACGTTTTTGTAGCTCTTTTAAAATTGAGTGATCTTTGATCCCCCTTTTGCCTTTGAGGTGCATGGCTTCAACAGGACCTTTATGAAAGGCACCTTTTCACTGCAGCAGCAAACTTCTACCTATGGACAGTCACTTCCTTTGCTTACTGAGCTTGGTAGAGGACCGTCTTGTAGACTCTTGGCCTCACGCCAGGCCTTTACTAAGCAGACCAGAAGGAACAGCGTTCCAAGCCCAGCCTTCTTCAACAAGGGTCACAACCAAGGTGGGCTGAGCTGCCACCTTCTCAATCTTTGGCCATCCTACAGGCAAAGAAAACTTCAAATTATCAATAGCAAACTAGTCTACTTTGTTAGGCAAAGCTAAAACGAAGAAAAAGAAGGGCTTCGTACCTGCTTAGTCTCTGAAAGCAGGGCTTTCTGTGTGAGCAACCAGCCTTCCCCATCTGTGCACAGCTCTTCCACTGCTGTTGCAAAGAGCAAGAACATCTGCATTTGGTTCGCTGTGATGCACCAAGGACAACTAGAAATTGGTCTCAGCCACTTGCTCTTCGGTGCCTCCATCAGTGCGCTTACTGGATGACACAGTAGGAATGAAAGATGCAGTCTCCCTCTCAGTGGAAATGGGTCACTTCATTCATTATATGTTATGGATAATTTAGTCCCTCAAACTTAACGCTCAGCAATCAGCTGCATGGGTATAGAACCCAGCCTTTGACTTCCTCCTCTTGGCTATCCTGTTCTTGGCAGTACAGCAATCTTGGAAAACTCTCACCTCTATGACCCTGACTTCAGAGAGGTTGGAGCATGTGTACAAGATGAAAGAAAAAGGTGTGGCTTTCTGGTTCACCCAGCCACTGTATGTATGATCCACTCAGGACAGGTCTTGTACATGTGGCCAAGAGAAAAGGTGCCTGGATGCCATGGGAAGATACCTCTATTCATCGACAGCAGATATTTTGTGGGAGAAGACTGGATTTTTATTTGATCACATTCCTGATAAGCAGAACCTGGCAAGGCATTTCCAATCAAAGGTCTCTCCTAGAAACAGTTCAGTACCTCATGACATCACGCATACTGTGGTGCCAAGGCCATGACAGGTGCTGCAGTGTTACTATGACATGGATTGGTTTGGATTGGCATAAATCAGGAGGCAAGGTTGAAAATTGAAAATATACCTTCAACAGAGAGGGCCTCTTTTAAGACCAGTGAAGCCAGGGATTCCACACACAAGTCAAAGACAATGGCCAGGAAGATGGTTCTCACGCAGTCCATCATGCCTTCCTCTTGATACTGATTTTGGTACCAATGCCCCATCTCCTTGCAGATGCAATCAAGATGATTGTGCTTTTTTTTGCCCATTGCTACCACCAGCTCCTAGGAGACAGTATTTTTCCTCCAGGTACCATACTAGTCTCGAAAGAGGAGACTGGGCTTCCAAACAGCAATATCGATTTTTCCATTCCTCCACCTTCCAACCTTGTTTTGGATCTTCTGTTGCCAGGACACCATTTACAACAGACTCTTGGGTCCTATCCGTTCATCAATGGAGTTATCTTACTAAGTTTTAAGTTCCTCCTCTCTTTTCAGGTATTGCCTTAAAATATCTGTATGAGCTTTGAACTCAGGATAACAGACTACCACGTCCCAGATCATCACAGACAATATAGTGGTGGTCTAGTCCTTCAGGTTTGGAGGCATGCACACACCAGGGCTCCTTTGCCTAATTGCATTATTTGGAATTGGGTCATTTGGCATTAAATAACTTTCAGCCAAACATATAACCTTTGCCAACAATATCCTAGCAGATACATTCAGACAGGTCAATTGTCCTGCCAACTGGATCACTGTATTAACTCCCAGCTCTTTTAATGATGGGGCACACTTCATCAGGACCTTTTTACCACTCCAAAGTATATGGTCTGCCAACTGTGCTGCTCTCAGCCAGGAATTGGCAATGACTGACCAGGGGATGCCTTTTTCTTCTACATCTTTCCTCTGTTCCTCGTAATTTTGGAGGGCCTGATTAAAGTACAGGAGGATTCCATGGACTGCAACCTGATCACCCCAGCAGGCATGCCAAGCCTGGTTTGTGACACTCCTATACCACTCAAAAGGAGAATTGATTTCTCTTCCTCATGTAACAGGCCTCCTCACTCAAGATTGGAACCAACACCCAGCCTCAATTTATGCAGGGAACTTGTTTTCTGTAAAGTCGGAAAGATATCTTGCCTCTTCCTCTGCTATGGGGGTAAAACAAGGGACTCCCAGTGTCCTTGCAGACACTATCGTCATCTTGGATTGTACAGAATATTCAGTTATCACATCACATTTCAGGAATTGATAGTGGTCATGTCAGCTGCTTTCATTTGATGAGTTTTCCCGATGGACTTATGCTGGGTGCCTACATGGTCCAAGCTATGTAGTTTTATCAAATACTACTATTTTGATGTCAGAACCAGGACTGATTGCTCTTTCAGTCAGGCAGTTTGTTAATTATCCAAATGTGTGATGCACCAAGACCACAAAGGAGGACAGGTGACTTACCTGTAACTAGAGTTCTTTGAGTGATCATCTGTGCATTCACACAACCTAACCCACCATCCCCACTTCAGTATTGAGATTTAAATTAGAAGCATAGTGGCTACCAGTAACAGCATCAGTACTGACCTTTTATCTCTCCCTTATGAGACTGCAGTGTTGGTCTCAGAGGTACTGAGAGGAATAGGTAGGGACCTGCTGTCAGCAGAACAGTGGAAGGTGTTCTTGCCAAAAATTTCTCAGCTATGGAAGTTTCCTGAATCGAGACTCCATGCAGGCACAGAATTCACATGTGTGAATGCACAGATGACCATGGGAAGAACTACAGTTACAGGTAAGTAACCTGTCTTACTGTTTGAATATTTCTAAATGGCAAACCTGGCTTGACTTTTTTTCCTTCAGCAATGCACCACCTCCATGCTCTTCCAGGAATTCCGCTAATGAAAATTTTCAGAGGCTACAATGAAGTGATGTAGGGATAGAACACACAAAAATTTCTTTCCCCTTTCCATCAGTGAATGCCAGGATTTGTTTACAGGATCTTAAGATCCAATTTGTTATTTCAGTACCATATACACTTTAGTATATTGTTAAACTATAAGCACTGTTTTGAGAAGAATTTCAATAGTCCAAGCATCCTTTCTTTAAAAAATTGTTAAACTTTTTTGTTCTTTTGTTGATCATACCACCTACATTACTCCTCACTGGGATAAACCAGCTTGTTTAAGTAAATTAGTTTTCTAAGACTAGTTATATGGAGTATTTCTAGGTTGTAAAACCTTAAGCATTCTGCCCACTCCTTGCCAGGATAGGGTTGAAACCAATGTATTAGGTACACAAGCAGATATTTTTCTTGAACACAAACATTATTTACATAGGCATTACATGTGGTGCTTGTTTTTAAGTGGGCACGGATACCCCCCACCCACCTAAAGCAGGCTATTAACCCCCACCCCACCCACATAGTTTCCTGCTCTGGCAGGAGGTTGGTCCTTAGGCAATACCCACAACCCTCTTTCCTCTCAGGTTTGGTTGTAGCACTGCTTATCCTTTAGGGAGGACTGTTTAGCATCTATTTATTGTGAATTATTTAGCATACTATTATCTAACCTTTAAGGATACAGAAGCTCCAAAAGAGGGTTAGTCAAATAGGTGGGCACAGAGCACAGCATTGTACAAGTAGGAAGATAATTGCTTTGATTGTGCTCTAGTTTTAAATAACCTCAAATTGTTTCCCTGCAATTTTAGAAGACACGCTTATTGAGAAGGTTGTAGTCTAGTCTGTTTCCCACTGTGTTTGTTCCGAGTGGGTTGGGTGGAGGGCAAGGTGTTTTTTAAGGGAACATTCAAACATGCCATTCCCACCTTACCCTTGTAGTCCGAAGTGGTCCATTCTGCTACCTTTCTCAGCCAGGTCCAAAAACATAGCTGTATTTCAGCCATTTTGAGCTAATTTATGTACTGTTGCATATTGCACAGCTCTGAAATGCTGCCAGCCCCCTCCTCTTCCCCCACCACATTTCCAAAAAACTGCTTCTAAGGGACCCGAACCCACCAGAGCAGATTTTGGGAGCAGGGAGAATCCACTCTTATCAACTGTGGATGAATAGCAATGGCTTTGACCACCTTCATTACTAGTTTAATGGTACGGGGTTAGCATGAGACCACAGAATAGGTAATCATTTGATCCACAATACTGAAAACTACTTTACACTTGGTATTACCTGTAAGTGCCACTAAAATTTGCTACTGATAAAAATGTCATGGTCACACCTTTTTTTTTTTCTTTTTCTTTTCCTCAACAGGTACTGGATGCTAGCAGGGAAGGAAAAGAAGAGGTTTTCTATGGGCCTACTTTGCCTTTTGCTTCTAATGGAATAGCAGCATGCTTTCTGCCAGCCCCCTACTCCACGTGCCCAAACTTGCAGCCTTTGCAAGTGCCTCACCACAAGATAGGCGCTGTGTGAGGAAGGGGCAGGAGTGACCAGCTTCATTATTCATTCAGACTTCACATGTGAATCAACCAAAATGAATCGTCATTGAAAATCTTCTTTGTGCTGTGCAGAAGCCAAAAAGTGGAAAAGCATAAACAAATGGGGGCAGAATTACTCTAACCCAGTTCCCTACTTTCAAGTGGGATGATGGAGCATCTTCACCTGTTTTTCCATATAAGTATTCTAGGAACATTTTATGCAGTTTGTCTGACCTTTTGTTCACAAGGATCTGCTTTATCTATCGATTTCCAGAAGTGCATTGCAAAGAAGTGATACGTCAATAAGGACAATATAATCCTATATATGCAATTGAAAACCTTTGCTGAATATCCTGAACCAAGTTTTATTTCCACAGGTTGTTGCTTTTAGCATTATACGTGGTGGAGGGAACAAACAAAACCTTTAGTTGGACATGCATAAAGAAAATAAAGGGATTCTACCTTTGATGTAAAACAGTTGTCCTCAAAATGTGGGTTGAAACAGCAGTGAGCTTGGACTGCTTAAGCCTTGCAAAGGGCTTATTTTAGGTGCTTGTCCTTGGGTATTAGGAAAACCTTGAAACTCCAACTGCTGTGTATTTTCAACATTTCTCATCTGCAAAGGTGCTCTTAACCTCTGAACTACTGGCTGTTACTCATCCTTGCCTCATGGACAGTAGGAGGCTAAAAGCTGGACAAAAAGTCATGTAGCTGTAATACCTTCAGCTGCAGAAAAGGCGGAAATGTGGCACACTCATCTAAGGGAAAATGTCATGCAGCAGGGAGGAGTGAGATGGGCAAGTCAGAGGTCATTGTAAAGCCTTGCTGTAGTGTTCAAGATTGTTCCCAATAGAATTAGAACAGGAATTGCTGCTTAGACATAGTGAAGCGTGTTGATTATCTTGAGTTCTTACGACTTTATACTGATCAAAAGTGGCTTTTTGAAACAATGATACTTAGCAGACACTTTGGGGTAAGTGGATTGCTTACTTCCAATATCTTCATTTGGCAAAAGCTGTAAAGAGAAAATAAATTCATGTCTAAACACCACTCTAAAATTTAAAGATTAAAATGTTATTTTTAAAAACAAGACTGGCAAGCTTCTTTAGGGGAAGACTGTTGTTTTGAAGTAGTAAAGCTGATGTTGCCTATTCCAAGTTTTCCCTGAAGAGTAATTTTAAAATAGTATGTTGAACATCTGGCTTTAGACAACTTTGAAATGATTTCTACCAGCTTCTGCTCTTCTCTTGAATGCTTACAACTAGACATTTATGAAGCACTCCTTAATTTCTCTTAAGTGGAAAAAATACTTAAGACAATATTTTCATCCACTATGCACATTAGGGTGGGTGGGTTCCTATTGCCTGGAGTCTCACAGTTGTTTATTACAACAGACTAGTCAAGCAGAGCTACTGAAAGCGCAAGCAAAGAATTCAAGCTACAGAGGAGCGATGGGATCCTTGTTCTCTGCTTAGAAAAAGGAAAGAGAAATCCACCATTGCAGGAATTGGTACTCCGTGATAAAATATGCTTTTATCATACAGTTGGAAACACAATACAAATGCCAAAAAATATAAACAAAAGCACTGCAGCATGCATTAGTTTCTCACATTTGTCTGACAAGACAGACCAAGAAAATACATGTTGTGAGGGGTGCTAAATGAAAGAACCCCCTCCAAACTCTCCCAAAGGAAAAACTTGTTCAGCAACAGATTACCTCTTTTACCTCCATTTTAGATAGAAAGTTGATTTACACCAGGTGAACAGTTGTTCATGGACAGCCACCAGCAGCAGTTCTCCAGGGTCTCAGGAAGAGTGGAGTTGTTTGCTATCTGGTTATTTTGAGGGGAGATGCTAGGGAATTAATCTGGGACTTTTTGCATGTGGACCATCTGTCATAGCACCCTCCCCAGCTTGGTCAAGGAACAATCATGACTACAACATAAAAGATATGTGTAGATGTCAAATAACCTATGATACCACCTGGGTGGTACATGTCATTATCCTATGAACTTGCTGGAATGGAGCTCAATTGCAAGAGTGCTCATTCCATTGGAAGTTACTGCACTGGTAGCATCCAGTCATGAAGTTCATTTGCCAGTTGTTATGCTGAGCACTGACATAGTTGATTCAGTTTTTACATCACTACAGGTTGGGTGTTTGAATCCAACTGGTTTGTTCCTTTGGCTTAGCACTGTGCCACTGATGCTCTAATGATGACACTACAAACATCTCCAGTAAGCCAACTGCTTGTCCCACTCAGGGGCCATGGACCTGTAAATGTGTTGGTTTGAACAGTCATCTGGGCATTCACACAACCTGCCCACCATCCCTACTTCAGTGCTGATACTGGATTAAATGGGACAGTAGTTGCTTATGGTCTCACTGCTGATGGTAGTATGGGTCTTGGTACTAAAATTGTCTCTCAGTTTCGAGGCCACCAAAAGCAGTCTTCAGAAAATGAATAGGCTGAACTCAGAAAATGAATAGCTGAAAAGTGGGATTGCGAGAGAATTGCCTAAATTCTTCAGTTAGAGAAATTTCCCATACAAGTCTCTGCACAGGAACAAAGTCAACGTGAGAATGTACAGATGGCCATTCAAAGAACCCCAGTTACATGTTTTGTTTTTTAGAAATTAAATTGGTGAATTCTCCTCTTGATCATTGGGAGGATGGAAGTCTATGAGAGAGCATAAATATTTGAGAAGGGAGAAAAACAGGTCAGATTTCTGTAGTTCTGTCTGCATTATACATTTTTGATGAAACAAGCAATTCGCATGAACTACCACTTAATATATTAGTGTTTGCACACAACTCTTATGACCAACTCCAAGCTGTTTTATTAAAATGTGCAATTTTCTTCATACTTTGAAAATCAAAATTGAAGCTGTTAACATCATTTACAATTACCAGGGAGCAGTTTTGTCTTGTCCAAAAATAAAACTATGAACTTCAAGACAGTAATATGTAACACAGATTAAGTAAAATCTTTCACTCCATTCCATAGTACAGGGGTATTTGAAAGGATGTTCATGTGCATGTGTGAGAGAGTATTTACATGCACATATGTAAACACCTATGCACACTTTACAACAAAATCAGGTGATTAACTATTGTGACAATTTTCTCTATTTGAATTATGTAACAATTTATCCTTTTAAACTGCCTTGAGTCCCTGTATCAAACAAGGCATATGAAAGCTGCCTGCTTCTCTTCAGAGTGAACCAGTCATGAATTATGCTATACAACTCTACATCTGTAATGCAGTTGCTGCCACACTTTGACAGAGTGGAGAGGAAAGAAATTCTAACTCGCCTGGCCAAATTGTAACATTTGAGAAACCTTGTGGTAAAAGCCAAGCAGACCACCCTGATAAATAACTTTTGGATGGATACAATTTGATGTGGCTGCCACATCATATGCTGGTACGAAGTGTGATTTATGTAAATCTATACATTTCATAGGTAATAGGTCTCTTGAATCTGAGTTCAATATGGATATGAATTCTTGAGTTCAATATGGATATGCTCCACTTCTCTAAGAAAGTATTTATCAGATAACAATGCTTCCTAAAATCTTTTAGCAACTAAAACTGTTTCTAAACACTATGTCAGAAATACCATGACTGCTAGAAACAGCACGGATGACTTTAAAAAGTATCAAAATCTGGTAAGAACAGACAATGTGTGGTATAAATCGGCAAACCTCGCACCAATGACATAGCTGCACTCTCGGGAGATTGGAAAGGCCCAGTCAAAAGAATTTAACCAGCCATGTGCTTTGTCCAACTTCCCTTGAGAGGTTAAAGACTTGCATGCCATTCATCACAATACCTCATAGCCCTGCTTGAAACTGCTTTGCAAGAGTAACTTCCAGCCTTGCAATCTCAGACAAAGGATATTGTGCTTCACATGTAGGGATATACTAACTTACTGTGGGAGATGTTTTACAATGTTTGATTCTTTCCACTTTGAATTTCAAGTGGTTAGGTAGATACACCTGCAATTGCGAGAAATTAATTTGCCCTTTTTGTCAAGTGGAACAGCCCTATTTTTCTCCCAAACTAAAATAACAGCAAAACAACATAGAAAGTCAGTGGAGTCAATGCTGCAATCAATTTCTACTGGAATTTGCAATCACAATTTGCCCATTGATTCCTACAGTTCCTTTACATGACATGAAAGAAATAAAACTCCATTATCAAAATCATTCAAATGCCATAAAAAAACCTTCAGTAGAAAATCTGATGAGCACATTGAATGCCCAGGACTGTTAAAAAGAGTGATTTTGCTTCCTAATTATTTAAATGCCTGTCTTAGTTACTATCTCTGGGATATCTGTTGTTTCTTAAGGCATTCAAAGAGATCTAGTTAAACTAAACTAAATGAAGTGTCTGGGTATAACATGCAAAATCTGTGTTCTTGATGAATTGTTCCATTTAAATGGGTAAGCTGTAACTATGATAACTTGCCAGGAAGAAAAACTATGCCAAATACTACCCAACCCCAACACACACACAGAATGCTAATGTAAGGGCATATTTCCTATCCGCCGGGTCTTAGAAGCTTTATAATCAAGAAAATGCCTCACCACGAACCTCACATGTACCTTAAAAACACACAAGTTTATCCATTCCTCCATTCCTGAAATTTCACAAAATGGACTCTGTATCACTGTGAATGTGGGCAAGTATGAATTTTCAGTTTCCCTCCCTTCCCTGTGCTCTCTTATTAGACAGTTCTTAAGAAATTGTCGGCCATTTGTGCATGCCCTGGACATTTCTTTCCCTATGCAGAAGTGAAAAGTATCAGAGGTGACCACATTCGTTGGGTTTGCAAGAGGAGGCTGGGCCAGTAACACAGTGAAACGTTGCAAAGAAAAAAACCATGCAAAATCGTGAGAAGAAAATGAAAGGGCCATCATATTCAGGCACACCTCAGAGATATTGTGGGTTTCATTTCAGAGCCCTGCAATAAAGCAAATACTGCAATAAAACAAATCACAAGATTTTTTGGTTTTCCAGCACATATCAAAATCATGTCTACACTACACAGAAATTAAGTGTATTACACTACAGTATACCATATTAAGCATGCAATAGCATTATGTCTAAAAAAAATACACATGCCTTAATTAAAAACACTTTATTGCTAAAAAATACCTACCATCATTGTTACTGTTGATGTTACTGTTGATCAGTTGATGTTACTGATGTTACTGTTGTAACATCAAAGATCACGGGCCACCATAACAAATATAGTAATACTAAAACTTTGAAATATTGTGAGAATTACCAAAATGTGACACAGAAACATGAAGAGAGCAAATGCTGTTGGATAAAGGGCACCGATAGCCTTGCCCAACGAAGGATTGCCATAAAACTTCAATTTGTAAAATAAGCAGTAAGCACAATAAAATGAGGTATGCCTGCATATACCACTGTAACACTGATAAAATATTATAGAGAGATTCCACTGCACTTTAGGGGAAAAAACTAAATGAAAACAACGTAATGAATCACAGAAATGTTCCCAAAAACCTTGAGCACAAATTTAGTTTGTAAGCTCCTGTTCTTTAACTTCTTAATCAGTATGTCAACCATTGAGGAAGGAGACTTGATGGTTGCAGAATTGATTCTCTCGTGAAGGAGACCAAATTGCTAAACAAATAGCACAAAGAGATGCCTATCAGGTACACCCCCAGAGGTCTACTTGTTTTAGAAGTATGTGGTTACTGGGGATAATTTGAGTATCACATTCCAAAGGGCTGATCTACGGATCAATTAGAATGGGCAAAGGAGAAACATGATTTGTCTGAACCTAATACAGCCATTTTCCTTGGAAGTACCTACTTATCTTGGACTTACACTTTCCCTTCCATAGTTTCAGAGGTCCAGGCTTCCACACAAATCATGCCGAATCTTCTGCAATACCTACTACTTAAAGGACAAGTGGGGCCCTGGGTGAGCAGGAACTGAAGCAGAGGGCATCCCTCTCCATCACCACTACACTGTTTTATGATAAATTGTCAAGTTGAGATGTTACATTAAGGGGACAATTACATGCAAATTCAGGCAGAACAAATGTCTAAAACTCCCAGCACGCCCCAGAAAGCATAGTTTTTTATTTCTTACTGAAGTTGCATAGGATTGCACCTTGAGACATTGAACAGAATCACACATATTTAATTCAGGACTTAAATAGAAGCTCATCTTCTGAAGATACACAGCAGAGAAAGTGCTGCTTATCCAGTGAAAAGTCCTCTCATGGCCTATGTGAGATTACACACAGAGACTTTTCATTGTTTCTAGGAATCAAGTCCTCAGTGTAATGTGGACCACGGGAGAGATCAAGAAATGTGTTTGTGGTGGTCCCTCTTGGCCATATCTTATAGCTGTGTTCCTTTCCTTCATCTGATGGGATTACAGCACCAGCCATTGCACCTTTGGAAGCGTTGTGTGTGTGTGTGTGTGTGTGTGTGTGTATATGTATATGTATGTATGTATGTATGTATGTAAGAAACGAGCTTCAATTAAAGGATCCAGTTTACAAACAAACCAGTCACACTCAAGTCAATTACCAGACCTTATGATGCTTGCACAATAAATAAACTTGTAGTCATAAACCAGAAATACACACTCCTGCCCAATATGAAACTGATTTGCTTGGCAGTAAATTCCCCATCTTATATAAAGGTATCTATTATTTGTCTCTGGAAATAAAACAATTGTAAAATGACCACAAACAGCACAAGAGCAGCCATGCCGAATCAGCCCCATCTATCCTAGTCCAGCATTCAGCTTACAACGTAGCCAACCAGCTGCCTGTGGAAACCCATCAGTAGGGCAAACCTGCAACAGCACTTTCATGCTCCTGTCTCCCAGCAACGGGTACACAGAGGAACACCACCCCGACGGCTGGAAGTAATATATAACCTCTGTGAAAGGAGCTCTAAGCCTTCTTCTCCATAGGAACTTCTGGTCCTCATCTGTCCAACGCAAACTTTTCATGTTTTCTATATACACACTGACATCAATTTCCCATCATTTGCAGCAGGGATTATAATAATGCAAATCTTCCACAAATTCCTATTTGTACAAACACAATTATTGCAAGTGGTCATCTGATATAATGTGAAAAGGCTCTTTCTTAAAACAGCTTGAACTGACTGCTTTAACCGCAAATATTAAGAAGACGCTTTTCATTAACTCAGCCATTTTTAAAAGAATTGGTTTTGTATTTCAAATTTCTTAGTGCAGTTTTAATTATGTCTTAAAGAAATGCACTCAGTTGAGTTAAATAATTTGCTGCAATATCTGCTCCTATTCTTTCAAAAGTCAAAGGCTTCATGTTCAAGAAGTTAATACGAAAGACATACTTCTGTTTCTCTTACCTAGCAAACAGAAAAGACTGAGGTTTCGAAGGCATCTCACTTGAGGCTTTTTAAGAATCCCTTTTAGAAATGCAGGCCTTTTTGAGATGAATAAAACTCCTCCCAGGTGTAGGAGATTCCAAGAACCTACAATGCAGGTTCAATAAGTCACTTTCCTAATGAAAAGAACATCCATGCTCTTCACTATTAAGTAGCCTAAAAGAGGCTTTTAGTTACTGTATTATCTGAAGTAATGATAGTTGATTTAGGAAAAAGATAATCTGCTACCTTTACATAAGAATACTATAACAATGCAGAAAGGCTCAGAACAAGATTATAGGGAAGTTTCCATGGCAGTAATTGATAGACACAAAAAACAGTCTCTCATCATTAACTCTGAAAAGTTACAGTTTGTTTCACTGGTTTTGCCACCAAGCCCATACAACTCACTACTGCAATTCAAATGATTACTTGCATGTTGCTAAAATGGCATAATTTAATGGAAGAATAAATTCCATACATAACATAAATTTGGAAATTACAGGGAGAATTACGATAGGCCTCCAAGCTAGAAGCGGAAAGTGCCATAAACATCCTGAAATATCTAACAAATCCAATTTACTAAAGACAAAATGTAACGATATGCAATGTGTGTGTGTGTGGGGGGGCTGGGCGGAGAAGAAAGCAGATATGAGAATTACGATATTTGCACCTGGGCTTCTTAGAATTTGGTTAACCTTAACGAGAGCCTTACACTGACAGAAGAAGATGCATGGGGCTGGAGTGGGGAACTTAAAAAAGGAATGGGTGACATTAGTGTAGTGACCTGGGTAGCAGGTCTTATAATTGAACTGAATCAGTTCTTGAGATTCAAGAGCGGGAGCACTGTCACTCCAGCAGCAAAACCACACAAGGACAACAGAGGGGGTTAGAGGTTGAGTTCTGTCGAACACATCAACACATTTTTAATACAGGGACAGTGCTAGGACAGCTGTCACCGTCCTACACAAAGCGTACACAGACTCTTCTGTTAACACAAGGTGGCTCAAGCATCGTGACCTGACCCTGGCCTTGCTTAGATTGAACCCCTTGCTTGCAGTCGCCAAGCTCAGATGAAGTGTTTGTGTGCAAAAACATCACTCAAGGTGTCAGAATGAAGAGCCGAAGTGTATTGATTCATTGGAGCAGGAAAAAAGTTACTGTCAGAGATTACCTTTCCTGCTTCCCTTTGTCTGTTTTTTTAAATAATAAAAAGCAGAAACTTCAATAGTGTCAAAGTCACCAAGTTGCCTATGCTTGTCACCTCCCCCCCCCCACATCACACACAGTCTCTAACAGGATTCAATGGATCACAGTTGTCATTTGAAAGAACATCTGCAGAACTTTTCCTGTATTGCTTGCAGTATTGAAACATTGGATCTAAAGCTGTTGAAGGGTAGCTTATACATTTTAAAGCTAAGCAGAAAACACATGAACCCGTAGCTCCGGAATCTGCACTCTGCATAAAGGACTGGCATTCCATGAAATGACTGCAGAAAATACCAATCAACATGCTACTAATGGGTCTCATTTTCCAGCTTCTGTATCTCCATTTGTCCAGCCTCTGTGAGCTGAGATAAGAGTCGTTTATAGGCTTCTCTGTTAAGAAGGGGGGAAAAAAACAAAAGTATGTAACACTTTAATTAAAATCAGTGTCATGGAGCTTAAGAATCAGTCATGTCATTCTTGGGCTATTTAAGGTAAATTGATAAAGTGCCAGAACATAATTTTCTCTCATCTCCCACTTTGCACTGTTTACAGGGAACCGCAGGAGGAAAATTACTTATTTGATCTTATTTAGTTTATAAAGTAGTGGCTCGAAATCAAGGATTACTTTGAATTAAACACTTAAAACAAATGCCAATATGAAATTCAAACTCACTACTGTCATTACTTGGTCACCCATTATAGTATATCTGCCTAAAGCACTTCACAACTGGTGCGTCTGTATGACTTGGCAGCCCACTCTGCCAATAAGCTATGCGAAATGATTTGTTCATGAAACAACCTAGAGGATGCTCCACAGATGACTGAGCTCTCCATGGGTCGTTCTTCCCTCCATTCTCAGCAAATATCCCAGGGACTTGGCAGCAGAAGTCACCTTGTCCCCACCTCCCAGTCCATTTGCAACCCCTTTTTGGTCACTGCTGCAGCCTTTTCCATTTTTCCCCTTTCACAATCTTTTTACAATCTCTGCCAGTGACAGACAAACAACTAAATGGCATTTTTGACAGGGAAATACACAGAGTTCCTAAGCGTGCATTTTCTTGTCCAGTACTATGACAAACTTTGTTTGAAAAGAAACCTTATCTTTTGACAGTTGTCAAAACTCCATGCTCTTGTAAATAGAGTGGATGCACTTTTCCCCTTTCTGTGAATATCTAGAGGCTCAGAAAAGTTCAGAAAAGGTAAAGAAGACTGAGAATAATCAGGTTTTACACTTAAAAACTAGATGATCTCTATGCAAAGGTGATATATTCACCACTTCCTTTCACAAGCAAGTATCTGTTCATGTCACTGCTCTTTGCTTGGTAGATTGCTGTTTGACAGCTATCAAGTGAGGAAAAACACATAACTAAATAATCTATTTTCAGCAGTATTTGGTCAATATCCATGGCTGGGTATTGACAGAAGATACTTACCATAATACTGACCAGGAAAAGCTTTGTCTTTTAGCTAATCAGAAGTATTTGTGTATCTCTGAACCACTGAACTGATCAAAAAGGAGTATTTTTAATTATGAAAATATTTGTGTTTATTCCCAATAACTTTAAAAATGGCTCGTAATCAGTGAAGGCCACTCCAGTCACTGGTAGAAATTTTTAAAAATCACAGGGGACGAAAAACGGGAAAAGCAACTAACAGTGATCAAAAAGCAGTTATGAACACAGTGGGGATACCAAGCCCGTTACAGTCACTCCAAAGTGTCACTTGGACATTGCTGGAGTGGCTATTGTTGGCTGCAGCCCAGGTGAGCTCGGCAAGAGCAGCATTGTCTTTGTGCTGCTCCTAGTCGTACACTTGCCACTTTCCTGGACCTATGATGGGGCTGGTTGCTTGGGTTTGGATGACATGACAGCCCATTGTGGGTTTCACAACCCATAGAACAAACCACGAAATGTCAGGGTGGTGTGCTACCCCAAAATAAGCTGCCCTGCAGGGAGCAGTCTTGGTCTGCACAACAGGACAACTACACGTGGCTAATTACTCACACTGAGTTACCATCATGTGGAAACTCAGTCAATACTATTTAGTTGCACAGGTTGCTCCCATTCCTCCATTTTAAATTCTACACTAAAAGAGAAAATTTTAGAGTATCCAATATATTAAGTTTATGGCTTAGCTTATGGCTAATATACTAGTTCTAGCTGTGCTACAAGTTTGCTCTGGAACTCCTATTACGGCATTCACACAGCCAAAGAAGCCAAATCATACATGGAACAATCATGTTCTGATGGCAGCTTAGTGTGAGTTTAAATGCAAAGCAAATAAAATATAGGGGAAGCCCATAAAAATAATATATGCTACATGGAATTAACTCTGGATAAACCTTGCCTGAAAGAAATCGATGCTGTAGTTTAAAGAGGCATTCTGTGAAAAGAAAGTGAACTTTTCTGTTCATCACCCAAAAGCAATGGTAATCTCTGAATATACCTTTGCACAGCATTTCTGCCAAGACCTTGTTCGTACTCAGAATTCCTCAGGGCCTCTGTCATAGCAGGAATCAGGCTGATAACTAGAGACTGGTCCAAGGCAGCCACAGCTTCCAAGATGCTGTAAACTTGATTATCATACACAGTAGTGTAATCCTGGATGAACTGCCTGAAGGAAGAAACCAGGGCATTTAGTACAAGATACAAAAATTGGTTTTCGGAAAAACAAGCTCTACCAAAGAAATGTGTGCTTTCATTTGAGAAAGAGTCCAGGGGAAATACACAACTGCTAGTAATACAGGATCAGATCAGAAAAAGAAAGGCATACACAGAAATGTTTTTAAAGGTGTAAAGCCTAACCACAAATTCAGCTCGCATTCATACTGATTTCTTCAGTACCATCAGCACTGAAGAAAGTGCCTCAACTCAAACACGATCCTGGTCTCAGTTTAGCACTGTGATGGAAAAGCCCTTGCTTGAGGCACTGTTGATACCATAAGTCAACTCACAGTGCAATGTGCATGCCTCAGTGCCATGAAGGCAGGCTGACAAAATCAGATATAGGGTTTTATAAACGTGCCTTGCTCAAAGCTAATCCTGGAAAATAGGGATTTCAAAGCAAAATCAAACATGTCTGTCTGGATACTTCTTGTTGAAGATGTGTGCCGGTTGTAAATGAAAGTATTCTGCCAAGTGTTAACCCTTTCTCCCCTTTAATAGCCACCATGTTGACAGTCCTATAATCATAGCAGGTTGGAGATTCAGGAATTCTAGTTTCAAAAGAAGTATTGTAACCCTGCACTTGACTGTAAGTTTGTCTTAAATTAATTACAGCTCTCTTGGAAAGCAGATTGAACATCAGATCGGAGCCTTAAAAGCTAAACTTCCTCATCTCTAGCAATCTCTTTGATTCTGGTTGTATAAGAACCCATACAGGTATCTCTCTCTCTCTCTCTCTCTCTCTCTCTCTCTCTCTCTCTCTCTCTCTCTCTCATAATGCAAGTTTGCTATGCAACTCTTTCATATTCAGTATTAATTTTTTTAGTACTTCAATAATCCATTATTTCTTTATTATACAGAATGTCCAGTCCGTCCTGCTGGTCCAGCACAAGATGCAAACACTCTAGACTAGGAGTCAGACAGAGAGCGAGCCTGGGCAGAGAGACAGAATTCCTATAGGCCATGGCAACTCCCACTCTCTCCAGCTCTCCAGTCTACCTTGAGCTGTAACAAGTATGTACCTGGGCAGAGCGGGGAAAGGCTAATTCCTCCCTGTTCATCCACCCAGGTCTTGGTTATGCATGCCAGACCGGCTGCCTCATCCACAATTAAATCATGGATGAGGAAGGTCTTATTGTGCATGGATCTGGCATATTAAAGCAGTATTTGGAGACCAGAGGGCAGGCTGACAGGGCAACCACCAAACCTGCAGCTGGGAGCAAGGCCAGAACATGGCAGCCATTAATTGCCTGGGCCACATTCTGCTTACCAGGCTAGCCCTCCACCCAACAGCATATCCCACCCTACCATCACTATGCTGATTGGCCCGCCATCAGAACTCCACATGTGCTCCTATTCCCATCCTTCACTGCACATATGCAGAACCTGTGAAGAGGAATCTCCCCCCACCAGCCCCCCAGACACATATCAGGCACAGAGAATAACAACACTTTGGGAGGGGCTTGCCCTTGCACTCCCCACAAGCCACTCCCCCTAAAGGTGCAACCTGTTCTGGCATCCTCCCCTTCAGGGTTGTCCCTGCTGGGCCATTGCTGCCCTGTACAGGGCGGACAGAAATAGTCCTGCTGCATCTCAGGCCAGGTGGAAGCTGTTGGCAACCGAGTATGCAGCAGGCAGGGCTACAGGCAGGCCTCTACGCAGGACTGGGCCCCCTCAAACTTCTCTGAACAGTGCCTCGATCCAGCCAGTCCCATCATCAGCCAGGAGAGAGGGGCTGAAGAGATGGCAAGCGGGTTGGTGGAGAGTAAGCCAGGTGGGAAGAAAGGCTGGCAGGATGGCAAAGCCAGCACTCCCTCTCTTGCTGAGAGAGTCCAGTGGTGCTGCTCAAGGCTGCAGTCTTAAATGTCTTAAAGGAGCAACATTCTAGTAGCTCAGTCTGAGGGGTGAGCAATGACGGGAAGCGGTTCTGAAGCTGGACTCTTAGAAAAGCCATCTAACACTTAGGACACTCAAGCTTTCCCTGCCTTCAAATCTTAAATGTTCGTTGCAATAACACTGGGGATGATCAAGTAACATCACTGATGGAGCACAAAAGAAGAAAGGTATAGGGAAAATTATGTAACAATGCAGAATGCTATTCTGCCTACAATATTAACTAATAGTTCACTTGTGATTTTCTGTCTTTATGGCTGCAAGTGTTCTTTCTAAAATATAATTTAAAAACCCACAGGAGAAAAACTGTACGTGTTTCCTTCTCAATAGTTTTCTTTCATGTCAGCCAATACATGTGATAAACCCTGTTGCCAAGAATGAAGGTACTGTAAACAATCAACATCAAATTATGTTAGGGATAATTAGTTGCTTAAAAGAACATGCTTTCTGTCAAATTACTTGCACTTATTCCAGTGCCAACTGGCCAGTTTTCTACTCACCTAAACACAGAAATCATCTGGGTGGGAAGCTTTCCTCCTGACTCCACTTGACAGCCTTTTACAATGCACTGCAGAACCTCTGTGGACAGCTTTTTAACTGCAAGAGAAAGGCTCATGGAGACTTTGAACAGACCCTGTAGAAAACACTCCAGGAATTCTATACATGCTTAGTGGAGGGTGGTGTACCACATCAGACACACAAAACTTAGAGGGAGATGCCTTGGCTGGGGTTTATTAGAACTTGTAGGCCTGTCTTCTGTCTAAACTTGCATAGAATTGCTCCCTTAGCATGCAATCCTATGTACATCATTCTTGGAAACAGGCCCTGTTGAATCCCATTCTGACTTTATAAATTTGAGACGGCCCTGTTTCATCACGTTCTCTGTCCATGGAATTGCAGACGATAGGACAACCTGTGGTAGCCAGAAGTGTGAGCTCTGAAGCTTCCATTTCAAATCTCATCTCTGCCATGCACTTACATGAACCTTAGGCAAGCAACTATCTCTAAGTATCACGCTGCCCTTGTTATATTATCTACTGTATATACTGGTGTATAAGACAACTTGCATATAATTCAAGGTCACTATTTTGGGCTGTTTTTCTGGTGTTTGTCATTGTGAGATGTATAAAATGACCCCCAATTTTTGCTTTGCTATTTTTGGTTTCAAGGGTTGTCTTATACGCCAATATATACTGTGATATAATGTGGAACAAGCAATCAGAAAGTATGTTTCAGAAAAATACCATATATATTGGTGTACAAGGCAACTTGCATATGAGACGAGGTCAATATTTTGGGCTGTTTATATGTTGAGCACATAAGATAACAATTGATTTTTGCTTTGTTATTTTTGGTTTGAAGGGATATCTTATACACTGGTATATATGATAGTTCAACTTCCTTGCCTTAACACAGCATAGCCTGAAAGGAAACAGATATTGTGGGGGATAGGAAGGTAGATCCTCTTTGGCCAAGTTGTAATGCCTCTTAGGTTGCCACCTGGTCATCAATTACCCATGCTACACCTTGACAGATGCCTATTTTAGCTTTCCTTGAAAGCCTCCAAGGTCAAAAATATTTCACAAACTTTCCATGGCAAATATTTCCCTTACATTTTTCTTATAACTAGAAAACTTTTCCTAATAAATCACCAAAACATACCTTCCCCTGACTGAAACTTTTCATTCCTTTCCTAGGCAGAAATATAGCGGACCAAAATAATTTTCTGCTTTTCTGAAAACTGACATGTCATCTTTTCCTTTTGCCCACTAGGCCAACCCTACATAACATCCTGCAGCTTCACCAACTTCTTTGGCAACTTGGATCGATGACACATGAGCTAGTCAAAAGATTATCACTGGACAAATCCAAGGCTCTATTTTCTGAACTGGTCTGCCTGACGCCCTCAGTTAATGCAGTGCGGATTGTTGGGAATACAGCATGAGAATGTGATGACAAATGTGGAGCTCTGGGCTGCTGAGAGGTGAACAATCCAGGGTTTTCTCTAAAATAGTAAGCATTTAAAAAAGAAAATGAAGTTCACAAGCTCACCTTGCAGCTCATTAACCAGCAAAAGGCATTTCAGCACAGAAGGAAGAAGTGTCTCAACATCAGATATTTCACTGGACCTGGTTCTCTGAAACAGTTCTAAAATAAAAGCTAGAATTGATGCCAGGCAAGGAGGGGCATGACTTTTGAACTGTAGGTAATTCTCACTGGAAAGATAAAAATTAGAGTTAACAGTAAATTAGTACCTTATTTCTTAGTGACACTACATATACTAATGTTGCCAGGTCTGAAGATTCACCTGATTTTCTCTGGCCTTCCCCTAAGTTGGGGACATTGGTTTTTATTGGTAAGTTTAGTTTTCCATGACTTTTACAGGGAATCTCTATTTTAATGCACTTTATGAAATATGCTTTAATGGACCTTTTATTGTACCAGTGGTGTCCAATTTTTATCTTGTATGCTGCCTTGAGAGAATTCTACCCTTAAAGGCACACTAGAAATAATTTTAGCTAGATAGATATTATGCCTGTATTTCAGCTTCTAACCGAATGTTTTTCCATCCACATACTGCATTTTAATGGAATCATCTCAGTCCAGTCATTTTCCAGGAACTAACTGAAAGGGTGTTTCCCTAAGTGAACTTTCATACATTTGCCTACTGTAAAAGCTACACAAGTTCTTCCTCCAACCCTTCGCCAGTAGATAAATAAAATGTTGAAGCATTCATTTCCTTTCCTCTGGTACATTACCTGATGACTTGCATGGTGGCCTTACGCAGATGTGAGGCTCCTGGGCTGCTGGTGGAACTGCATAAAGCCAGCAAAACAGGATGCTGTCCAACTTGAGAATTCAAAGATGCTGAAGGAAGAAAGCGCCCAAAGTACTGCCGAATAACATTCCTTAGCAACTGGTTCAAATAGGCACCTTGAGTCTGGGCCTGGCAACAAATAAAGGACAAGCCCTAGAAAGGAAAATCACACAGAGAACTAACAAATGAGAAATTTACCATGATCCATGCTGAAACTCTGATAATCCTTAATGGCTACATTACAGCATGGCTTGCAGCATTGCTGTGCCACCGAAAGACCCATTAATTTTCACAACAGATTAAGGGGTTTGGATTTTTAAAAACACAAAGCACAAACAGCATAGGTTTGTTTGTTTGTTTTAAAAACTGGCAATGGTAAACACAAGACAAGTTTCTTTTAAGGGGATATAAAATGTGATTAACGAATGTACAACAGTGTGTCTGGTCAAAATGTAAAATATCTGCTTTGAATGAATCTGTGAGATCTGCATGCTGACAAGTAATGCACATTTGACAAGGTAATGCACTTACGTAAACACAGCAAGTATAGCAACACAAACAGTATAAATAATTTTTAGAATCAATAAAAAATAAAACTTAAACAGAAAGAAATCACACCCTCACTGAAATAAAAACTATACAGATGGCAAGAGGGAAAACCATCCAATCCTGTAAATACACTATGGAACTAGTTAGGGGAGAAACACCTTTCAAATCCATTCTTTCCTAATATTAATGTGTTGCTGACACAAATTATTTTTTCTAATATGCAAATACTAGTTTTGACTCATCAAATGCATCAGTCAAAAAGCAACTGATATTAGGAAATTTTTACAAAGGACCTAAATATTGTGTAGCTTGCATTGCTTGCAGAATGAGGCTTTCCCATTCCCTCCCTCTCCTCACTTGTGGTACCAGCATGATTCAAAAGGCTGAACCTGATCACTGGGGGTGGGGGTAGGCGATTTGGAATTGATGTGGAATAGATGGCAGGCACCTGCACATATAAGAAGTATCACAGATACTTCAATACAACCCATTGTAATGTAAACGGGTTAAAGGTGTCACCTGGAAGGGGAGGAAGAGTTAACTGACAAGGACAAATTGTTACAATTGGCAGGTGTTTGCTCAGTGAGACACTGGTGCTCAAGGATGTGGGATAGGCCCATGGTATGCAGAAGGGAGAGATACTGTAAATCAATGGTTTTCAACTCTTCCACAGCTGGGGACCAGCAAAAATAGAAAAACCGCCTCAGGGACCAATGATGGAAAAACAAAAAGCATCATACACACAATACAATATTCTGTGTATTATTTTCCAAGCACAATTCCAAAAAATGAAAATTTTCCAAAAAAATCAGAAACCAAACAACAAAAAATGCCAACAAATTATCTGGTTTGGGGTTTGGGACCAGGGAGAGTCTGAGCGAAGGTTATAGGCCATGGGAGTAGGGAGTTCTGGACAGCAGTCCACTCTCCCCATAAAACAGTATTTAAAACAGTATTCAGGAATCATTCACTGTAAATTCTAACACACAAGAAAAAGACACCCTTTGACTATGTGAAAGTAAAAATGTTCCTTTCCCCAAAATTATTCTATGAGCACATTACGTATCATTACAGATACTGCTCAACACCCTCACAAAGCTTTTGTTGCATATTTAGGCCACCTTTTCAAGATGCATCTGTGTGCCTCTCATTTTACAGAAAGATTTGGTGGTGTTTTTTTCTTTCTCTTTTAGCTAGACTTAAGACAGTTTTCTGTTCGTGACTTTTTGTTTGTTCTATGCATCTTTTCCTTCTATCTGTATAAACAGATTTTGTTGAGAGCGCTTTCTGAGATTGACAGGAATGGAGGTAAATCATGAGTCTCCTGTCATAAGGGGTCATTACTGGAGAATTCATGAACACTCTTACTTGGAATTCACACTAGCAAAACGGTCAAGCATCAGTAACAAAGGAGAGAAGGTATCTTTGCAGGAACATGGATTAGTAGAAGAAGGCTCTTACAAACTGATGAAATAGAATAGCTTCCATAATCTAGTAATACTAAAATTGTTTATGTGTTTGCAATGATCTCTGAAACATGAAAATAAAAGAGTTTTAATAATACATTTAGGGTTGTGAACACCATAAATATGCCTTCACAATTAGCAACTATTGTGCCTTGTATTTGGAATGGCAATCTTGCCATTAATAGTTCTGAAAATCTTCAGATCATGGTATTAATTTCACGTCAGCCACCTGTTTGATGATCTAATAATCAGCCCAAGGTATCTGTGTTGGGAGTACACAAATCTGCTTACAAATTGTTTTCTGAAATAAATAATAATTGCACAGGGTGTCTTAAGTATAATCTATGGTGGCACATGCTCGTAAACAGACACAGTCAGGCAATTATGACGCTGATGTGCCACCACAAATGCCTACCACTGATGTGTGTGGGTAAAGCAAGGTTATTACCTTGGTGAATTTCTTTGCAAAACTGTATTGCTGGAGAGTACCCCTGACTACTATCCATTCCCTTTGGAGTATAATCTATGGACCCAAGAGATTATGTTTGCTTGTAGGGAAAATATCTAATAGCTCTGTAGCCCATCAAAAATAATCCTGTGACCCATCATCTGAGAACCTGAGTACCAAACTGAACATTCTCCAAATGGATTTACTTCAGTGTGAGCATTCAAAGCTTGGGCCCACTGCTTTCCGGAAAAAGTATTCCACATCTCCCAATTTTGCAGTTTCATCTTGGAGATGGGGTTAAAAAGATAAAAAATTCTCCAATAAAGGCAGAAAGTTATAGGAGATAGCAGCCAGAATCCAGCAGCCAGACATACCTGAAAAATGAATGTGAAGTTCTTCACAGACATGAAACAGGATGATTCTGTGTTCATAATGCTATTATGCTGAGACTCTTGCATGGCTGCTTCTGATAGGAAATGCTTTGGGGCAAGTTGGCCTTTGCCAACATAGATACCCAGCTGTGCCTCATTAAGGAAAACTTTAAATACAGACATCAGCTCTTAGGTTCTGCCTTTCACGTGTCAAACTTCTTCCCAACAATTTACCCATAACATAAGGAGCTAGAGAGAAATGTATTTTGGTGCCATGTTTGTTTTGCTTTACAAATGATATTCATAAGATAATGACTGGACACGACATGTCCCTATACCATTAGCCAGGAATGACACACTTATAATATATTAAAGCACAATTCTTTGCACGTTTAGCCAAAAAAAAGCCTGTAACTCCCAGTCTTCCCCTATAGCTAGTTGGGGAATCCTGGAAGTTGTAGGACTTTTTCTGTTTAAATATGCATAGGATTGCACCTTTAAACAGTAATAGTTTTCAGGAGGATATGTATGGCATTAAATATTTATTGCAAACATAATCCCATGAAGTTAGCCCTTCTAAAACAAAAACAATGAACTTGCATATTCCTGAACAAATGCATGTTGCTCTGTATATATACAGTACATAGACCATGTTTTCTCTGTGGAAATATAATATCTCTTCAATAAAAGAGACCTGCGCATTGGAGAATTCATAAAATCTCCAAGATCTCCTGAAGATCTTGAAACCCAAGGTATATAAAGAATTGACTTTTAGACAGGATATTGGACATAAACCTCTGTGGGTAGGGCTGTTCCCAATATAGTACAATTATTCAATTATTGTTAAAAGATGAAGCAAATCACAGAAACTGGATTTCCAGAAGTATATAATGGAATATAAGAACAGTCTAAGTCACTGGCAATGTGCTACTTTATCAGTTGGGGTTTTTTCCACTCAGAATTTCCTGTCAAGTCCACAAAAACTGAATTTAAATTAAGGACTGAAGATATATGTGGTGAAGGGGAATTTTATTTGGCACCTGAATATTCAATGTTGCTTGGTAGGCTAAATTTAGGTATTCAGGTATAGAGTTATTCAGTTGGTTTTATCTGGTTTAAACTACTGTATCTGGTTTAAACTATTGTAAAACCTGATGGGAATCCAGAGCTTCAATAAGGGCAAACTTGTCCTGAAAGACCTGCCTGGTTGCCAGAACCTCTCTAGGATCAAGGTGCTGAATGTAATCTTTAAAGCTCTAAAAGGCTTAGGACCTGGCTATCTCAACATCTCTTGATGAAATCTGCAGGAGAGGTCCTCCGGATGACACCTTTGCCCACTGAGGCTCATTTGTTAGTCCCAGATGGAAGGATTTTCCCCAGTGTTGCTGGAATGCACTGTGGAATGCACCCCTCCACAAATATGATTGGCCCTCCGACTTTTAGCTTTTAGAAAGTGTGCATTTTTTAATTTAAGTTTTAAATTATTTAGTTTTAATGTTTTCTTATTTTTAATGTTCTTGTTTTTCTAAGTTTTGAGTTTTTCTTGTGCGTTATCCTGATGGCTTTTTAGCAAATATGACAATGTAGAAATGTTAATAATAAGCAATACATAAAATAAATATTCACATGGCTACGAATCTTACTTGACTTTGTTAGAAAGAATATACATGCTAGCCAAGTTGCAGGGGTTGCTCACTGCCATTTAGGGAACAAGCAGGAGATCCCTTACAATAACCATAAGTATATTTGAAGATATGTGTATTATCAAGCATTTGAGTACTTATTGTAGTGTTTCAGTATAAAAGGAAATTCATGATGCACATTTGACCCTTCTTTGGAAGAGAGTACCTGTTTACAAGATTGCACCACATCTTTATGTTTGTAAGCAAAAGTTTTAAAAGAATATACACGAGATGGCCAAGGTGATCAAAATCTATTAATTGTAATTAATTTTAACTATGAATTTGATAATGGTTTCCTTTCCCTTGTTTTAAGTAGTTTCAGTCTCTGTCTTACACAATTTTCATACAATTTTATGCTGTACAATGTACAGATGTGCCATATAGTATATTACTAATGCTGTAATCTCATTCTCCACAAGTGAAGAAAATACTTCTGTTTGATCTCAATAATTCCCTTAAGCAAAGTTCCAAAACAATTTAATTAAGTGTCAACTCCTTTATACCAGTGAATGATGACCAGGCAGTAAGATGCTTCAGGAATGCTGTCTCAGCTTGTAAAATGCATTAAGGAAGGAGATGTATCTATGCCAGGTACCTGAACAATTATCAACACCCACAAAGCTGTGGTCCCACTAATGGGACAACAATTAAGATTAACAATTAAGTAAACAAACAGAGAAAAAAACCTCCCCTGCCAGTCATTGGTTTCAGAAAGGTACAATTTGTTAATTAATATCTAAACCTCTATATTTACATCTGTTCATAATATGCATACACACATATATTTTTTCTCTCTTTGTGTGTGCACGCACACATGTACAGTATAGAGACACATACACACCCACACACCTGAAGAAAAAGAGGAAGATTATCCTGAATGGCAGAAAGCATTGCTGCAGGCAGCCTTTTGTCTTGCTGGAGCACAGCATGTGGCAAAAGCAAGCAATCGACAATGCGGAACAGGAGTGGCTGTGCTTTGGAAGTAGCCAGAATGGGTGCCCAAGACTTCACAAGGCATCCTGTTAGATAAAAAAGCAAGAAACTTGATATACAGCATTGCAAAATGAGTGAGGAGGCAGGGCATAAACCAGCATTCTGTGGGGCTGCATTTTCTCCTGGTAACTATAGCAACCAAGTTGTCACATTTTTGCATAGCCCACTTAGCCAACATGGGGATAGTGAGGGCTCATTCATAGTACAGTAAAATGAGAGTTGTAGACTCTGGATCACACACAGGCAAAATGCAGGGGAACCAAATCAGATCTCATAACGTGAGACCTGGCAGCTTCAGGAAATTCTGATAAGGACCAAAGCAACAATGCCTGGGAAAATATTGATACTGTAGACTAACTATTTAACTTATATTAATAGGTCAATCTGATTAATGACCACCAAACCATGGAGACAGGAAGGCGAACTAAGTGTTTCTTTTGAGCCCCAACCTGCCCTCCATGGCACTTTCTTTTCAGGGTGTTGATGCTTAAAAATTCTGTTCCCTGGGTTTGATCCAAAACCTTTCACCCATTCTAACTGTTGCATCGTTCAAGGAAAGGGAAGGGAAGCCCTCCCAAAAATCAGGAGCAGAGACGTCTTGGGTCATCACACTTCTCAAAAACCAAACCAAACAAAAACAAGTAATGTGCACATTGCTTTTGAACTTTTTTCCCAAGTATTCTCTTAGTTGGACATGAGCATACATGTGCAAATCCAAATTTGCAAGTCTCACCTGGGCAAAGCACTGGGGGTGGGTGAAGGTCTGCTGTTAAAATGCAGCAGATACCCACTATGGCATTGACCAAGAGAGGCCACAAAGACCATTGCTTTTCATACTGACTTCTCTTCCTCTTCTCAAACTGCAAGCTGTTAAAATAAACCTTGCTGTAAGTAAGCTTTGCTTATGGAAAAGGATGGCCAGTAGATCACCCCTCTTCACACTGAGTCCATTATGGGGGCCTTTGGATCCCAACTCTTTTCAGGTTCCTTTTTCACTCTCTCTCAAGATTCTAGGTGCTTGGGAAACTGAAAAAATACAAAACTGAAGTGCTTGGAACACTCTAGAGCAAATGTTCTAGTGATGTAAAGGAATGCAGGGGAAGGAACTAAGAAGAAAATCCCATGGTGGAGGCAGATTTCCAGTAGAGCAATTCCGTATTTAATCCCATGTTTTCACATTAGGGAATCTGCCACTTCAATTACTATTGCTTGATTATCAATTGCCATCAAGAAAAAGGATCGTTTTGCTTCAAATACACTGATGGAAATAGCCCACACAAGACTTAACGCCCCCAAATGCCTCCTAAGGCAAACTTTTACTCTTAGCTTGAATTTCTTGCATCGCCGTACCAAACAATTATAACATAAGGAGGTTTTCAAAAATCATACAGATAATTTTTTTACTCTATATAATTATTTATTAAAGCATGAAGGCAAACACTGGCAATGATAATTACCTATAATCCTATAGGTGAGATGCAGTCCTTCTGCAGGACCTTTCTTCGTCAAGTAGGGTTTTACATATTTTAGTATATCACCAAGGTATTCTAGTGCCTTAGTTACCATGGCTGATTTTTCAGGCAATGTCTGAAGTCCACTATAGTTTTTTCCAACAGCCTGAGAAAATGGAAATAGGTGGACAGAAATAAAGCAAGTTAGAGATTGATCCTTATCAGGCTGAAATATGACAAACATTTCTTCAGGCTTCAGTTCAACACAATTTCCTACCTCCTTTGAAACTGGTATTTAAGACATGCTGTACCTTAATGAATTGAACAAGAGTGTCCTTAGGATCTTGCTTGTAGACCAGCTCAACATGACTCTTTGAGAACATAGCTCCTACTTCTGGTAGATTAACTATCAGTCTTGTGAATTCAGTTAGCTGTTCCATATAAATCTTATCTATTCGGCAACAAGAGAAAATGAAAGGGTTTGGAAAGGTTCAAGAGTATGCTTCTTTCCTCAAGGAGTGTAAAATGTTCACAAGCTGTACAATTAAAAGTAAACTAAAAATCTCTTGGAAATCATAAGATGTCAAGAAAAATAGTTAAGCATCGACACAAACCCTGCTTTCCAAGTAACAACTGTTGCTACTGCTATGACTGGCTTAGTCCCATGCCGCTAACATCTACATCTGGGGTGCTGAACCCTGGATGAAATCTGGCCTGCCTGGATTAAATTTAAATTAACTTAAATTTAGCCTTCCAAAAAGCCCCAAATAGCCACAGACCCTTTCCAGGTGCCACCATCTATCTCCTGACTGGAAATCATTTGGTATTTTCTGTGTTTGGTTTTATTCCCCTATTCTGAAAGGCAATAAGACAATAAGTGCTTTAAGCTTGAATATACTGTTATGTTTGCCTTTGGTTGTACCCCTTTGCTTTAGGCCTTGTCCACAACTGAAATGCCACTACCAGTTACTTCTTTGAAACTGATTTCAGTTATTCGGTCAACAATGATTCAGCACTCTTTCAATAAACATGATGCTAGGCAAATACTAGCCCAGCCCATACTTCTGTAGCGGTTCATCCACTGTTAGCATTAAACAAGTCACTCTAGAAATGCATACTCAAAAATGTCTGTCTAGGGCATGCTGGGAATCACAGGACTTTTGCCTCCCCAAACATGCATGGGATTGCATCCTTAGTGTAGCTTAGCACCCTTTCACATGTTTTATCACTGTGCTTTCAGGGATACATTTTTCTTCCCACTCTTGCTTGAAGACAGTGAAAAGATGATCAACATTACTAATGTTGCATTACTAATGCACAGAACTGGATATTCTATTTTCACTGTGTAACAATCAACAAAATAAGAAAGCAAGGTATCTTCTCTCTATACGGTTGCTTTAAAAAAGTATTTGAACAGTTGCCCTATTTGCTGGATTTAAGTCATGATTTAGCAAAATTGAGGTTTAACAATTTTTAGAGTATTTTTTTTCAATCAGAATTACCCTTTGGCAATATTTCTGTTCTTCCTTTCAAACAAGTGCCCAAAGAAGGAAAATGTAATTTATCTTCTTCATTAAAAGCAAGAAGAAGAAGAACATCATCATCATTCATCATTTCCATGCTTGGTGAAATTTTGAATATAAAGAAATCAAAGTAGTGATTAAAGCAAAGACAAATATTTTGCATATCATTGAGGAAAGTGGGCATTCCCCTCTCCAAATATAAAATTATCACTGCTACTACTTAGATGCATATTTACCAGCTGTCTGAAGAATATCTGTCCTACCTAAGGTATCAGCAGGCTGATAGATAAACATTTGCAAAATGCATCGAAACCAAGACTGTACCAACAAGGCTTGGTAAGATGTATGGCCCATTCCAGTAAGAGTTTCAGACAGGACGCTGCAGGAAAGAAGAGCAGTACAGGAAAAAGAAAAGCATATTACATAGGCAGAAAATCCACCCTTTGCCCATCCATTCCATGTTTTCAAGTATAAACTGTGCAACTGACACCTCCAGGGAATGCCCTGCAGCCAGTGTGCCACACAACACCAAACCCCTTTCCTTAAATGGCAACACCACTCCCCTAAACGAGTGTGAGGAAAGTGAATACAGCAAGACCCGGGCCTGCGTGACACAGCAACCCACTGTAGCCTGTCACATACAATTGACTGTCATGTCATGCAAACCCTCTTCTAGAGCTGAACCTTCTGAGCTGCAGTTCAGCTGTTTCATATTGTATTCTGTCTTGAAGGTCCCCTTGTTCAAAAATGGCCACCTTAAAGCCAGTGACAGACCATCCTGGGAGGTTGCAGTGCTTCCTCTTTGGCTTTCAAATACTGTTCCTTCTGATGGATATTCATTTATTCTTTGGCATTTATTCTTGCTTGCCCTATGTACAACACAGCAGCATGCTGGCCAATACCATAGTCAAAACTGAACAGGTGTATGGACCATGAAGTTCTGTGTGATGTTGATACATTCTGTAATAGTGCGCCAATAGACCTGCTGGAACAGAGTAAACCTTCAGGCTTGCTCCCATATCTGTTTTATGTGGCCAGCTGTTGCTGGTGAGAAACCATTTTAAGTTGGGTGATTATCTTGTTAACAGATACAGCTGAACTACAATTCAGTTCCCTCTGATCTTACCACTGATAACCCCCCTGCCCTGCCCTCCCCACAATACACATCTGCACATTCTCTGAGTGTATCAATTTTTGTAAAAAAAACAAAAACATGCACAGGTCTGAGCCCACAAAAGCTTGTGACGTAAGAAATTGGTTAATACTGCAGTTGCTACAAGATCTGTTGTTGCATTTACTAAGATGGCTAGCCCTCTGGAAAATGAAAACCTATCACTGCATCAAGCTTGGAACCAGAAACAAAAAGTCTGCACATGCATCTACATAAGAAGCTGGTTTATAATGATCGCTCCATTTGTCCAGTATTGATACTGACTGTCCAGGGTTTCCAACAGAAGACTTTTCCATTCCTACCCAGAGATACTGGATACTGAACCTATGAACTCCTGCATACAAAATATGTGATCTACCAATTAGCTCCACAATCCTCCTATTAATTAATTATAAGCTATGATTGTCACTGTCACTGAAGTGCAAGGCAAAACTTCAATTAGGTTTAATATTCTAGACATATTCCTTCCTGAATATTCTATGCCTCCTCCCACTATTGTTTTCTTGCACATATTTTAAATCATGCACATAGGCTGAGTGCTGGAAGGAATCTTGTGGGTCGTTTAGTTTAACCAGTCACCCTTTGGCAATGTACTCTAAATTTATAGTGTGCCTGACTGATACATGTCTAACTGATTCTTAGTTTATGCCATTTTTAAAAATGTATGTTGAAATCTCTTAGAGACATACAGAGATTCCACAACTGCAACTGTTAGACATATTTGAGTCTGCGTCAGTCGAACTACCCAGAATTAGACAAGCTTGTCAGGATGCCTGCCTCTTATGCATGTTCTTGAAATCTTTTGTACAACTGCCAGGAACAATAAGATTCCAGGTGTTAGTAAACTACCTGAAAATACACTAATGGAAGGAAATAATGCTCCTGCCTAAGTTCAATACACAGAATTGGATATTTAACTGAAAACCTGGGCTCCAGAAGGACTGTGAAACTTGTTGCACCACATCAAGAGAGCTTCAAACTTAGAGTTCTTGAAAAACAGCCCATCCATGTTAAATAGCAAATGTCACATTTTCAGCAAAGCTCTTAAGGCAACTTATAATACTCTAAATAAATTGGAGTAACTGCTTCCTCCACCAAAACAAATACCAGAACCAAATGAAAGATAAGTGTATACCTGCTCTTATTTAGCCAAGAATTTACTTTGCTTACCTGTTTTCTATTAGGTGACTTAGATATCTTGAAACCAACTGGGGACAAACCATATCATCCCATCCAAACAACTGCATCATCGATAAGGCTGGCTGAGGCTGAAGATCCAATGTACATGTGCTAGGCAAATCCAAAGCCAATAAAGTGAAACCTGGTATTTTTAATCCAAAAAACCAAAAGAGAAAACAAGTATGAGGAACAGGCTGATTCTGGACAGAAGGGTATATGTATTTTTTTCTATAATCCCTTTCCTTGCCATTTTTTCCACCTTAATGGTGGGGAATCAATAGAAACAAAGCCTGTGATTCAACCGGTGCTTAGAGGAGTGGTTTTTCCTACAGGAGACAGTCCTGTTCCCTGTACTGGAAGAGACATAAAACTCTGTGCATAGACCCACACGGAGGAAGGCAAAATATCTAGGGTGAAGAGGAAGGGGACTGTGGTGATGACATCATTGGTTGTGGCCACACCTCTTGGCATCTCTCATTCTACACTTTTAAAATGCATAGTATTTCAGTGTTTTTACTGTTTTGAATGTTCTTGTTTTTATTATCATGACAGGGTTTCATTGTTTTAAACTGTTGCACACCGTCTTGATGGCTTTTGAGCAGATAGGTTGATATAGAAATGTTAATAGTCAATAGTGATCACTTGGCCTGCAGAGGGCCTAGTTGTAATTTAACCTTCATTTTCACTCGGCTGAGCAGTTGCATTACATGGATCACTATATTCTCACCAATTATGTTGATTAAAATGGATGATTTGATAATTAACAAATATCGCAAATACCTAAAACAGACTTTTTAAACAGGTTAACAGGTTTTTGCCTTGACTTTATTTCCGCTTTCTATAAAACATCTGGAAATGACGGAGCATTTCCTTTCTACAACATTCTTTCCCATTACCATTCTATTTTAATTATGGCAAAGCTGCTGAAGTTCAAGGGGTCTTTCTTCATTTCCATTATTGACCGCATCTTTGAGAGCTCATAAACTCAGTTCTTAATTCATGTTGGGGTAAAATACATTTAAATTCAAATCTGTCTTTTCCAAATATTATTTAAATAGATTCAGTGCACCATTATAGCTAGATGCAAGCCTTGTCAAATTGAAATATGTGGTGCTACTATATAGGCATTTCATGGAAGAAATGATATTGTATCAAAACAGAGAAGCCTGGACCAGCTGGGCACAGCTCCACTGGAGTCAAGGATCACCACTCCTTCAGTTTACTCTCAAGATGTTATTCCATCTGCTGGGATTTTGAGTGGCGTTCCTACAGCATAAGACTCCAGAATACAGGGTGTGTTAGAAAAAATCATAATGTCATGCAATGTCTTTGAAATGTTGTTTGATATATGTGGAGAAAAACATTTACAAAATGAACATTATTGTAATGCAAGAGAAGCTCCAAGCTCGGGAGTGGGGGAGGGAGATCCTGCAGAAGCTAGGAACAAACTCATTTAAGCACAGAAGGAATATGCATCACGTTTAATATGATGAAGCATCAACCATTAACCTTGCCTAAGCTCACATTTCTAATGTAACAAACGATATCAGGGGGAAAGTGCCACTGAAGCTGTGCATATACTGCAACCATATTGAGAAACTGAGAACTCCAGAGTGCTCTAATAAACATGTGCATCTGTGTATGCACATGTGTGTGTACACATACAAACACAAACTAATGCCATGCCAAGATTTTCCTCCATGTTTTTCCAACTATTTTCATTCAACTGATAGAAAATAAATTGCTTTTGTAAGGGAATTCAAAGAAGGGGGAAAAAGAGAGAGAAAATCTTATGGCTTAGGTTCAGGGTCTTGGCGTTGTTCTGCTTATGAGATGACTGAGTCGTGTGTGCCAGTGCCCTGTCTTTCACCATTAATTTATCAGCTTTGCACACTTCAGTTAAATCCCAGGGGAAGATGTCATGAGGTAATTTCTTTGTAGTGTTTTTCCAGATTGGAAAGTGCAGAGAGCCTGGGATAATATGGAGAAATTGTAACAACACACATACACCCTGCTCTTGGCCACCACACAACTGATTAGACAAGGTCAAAAATACCACCAAAAGACATTCAAAATAAAGCTATGAGAATAAAGCAGAAAACTGGAAGCCTCTTTCATGGAGAACAAACTTGCAGAAAACTGGGGGACAGATTCTGGCACAGTACTAGCTCTACCTCTTCCTGGGAGCTGAACAGACCCTGCTGCCCTCACAGCCACTGTAGGGTTCGAGAATAAGAAGTATTGCTGGTAATAGTACAGACAAGTTGTGTCCAGAGTAATTTCTTTTAACACCTGGGAGAAGAAACTCAACTTTGAATATGAGCCAAAATTGATCAAAACTGTTCTTTTTTCCCCTTTCACTAGACATAAAAGAACATTTTATAGAACCTTCTCCAATGTGCTCATCACCATTATTTTTTGTGGTGGCCACATGTGCTCCACTGCCCACCTGAATGGGGTATTGGGAAGGATAAGTGGGGACTAAGCTGTCAACACAGTCACCATCATTGCCACTTGTTTTTCGAAACCTTAGAGAACAGGGAAGAGTCGGTGCCAGGACCTGCCAACGATGAACCCCACCTGTGACACAACTGTTGGAGAATTTCATCCACCCTCTAATTTCCTTGCCCCCAAATAGAGAATGTTGAGGCTGTTTTTGCACTGCCCGCACATACACACACACAAATGTGGAACATCCCTCTCAGATAAGCATTATCTTCAAAGGAATTCTACAGTACAAACAGCTTCTAGAATGAGAACATGAATGTGCCAAGAACATAGACAGCCATAGTGCAAAGGGTGCCCAAACCTGCCGCTGCATCTGCAAGCTGTGGAGGAGTCTGCAACATTCTTTGGCTTTTCAAGTACGGAAAGAAATTTTTCCAAAGAGCTCTGGCAACAGCAAGGTGGTGCTCTTTCGCCACTGACAGAGGCTGTGCATTTGGACCTGTATTCCCCAGTGGCAATCTCTGGTTTAAGTGTTTGTGCACAGTCCTAAAGGGAAACAAAAGAAATATTAAAACTCATGGATGGGGGCAACAAATTCCTCAGAAGTAAAAATACAATTTCGTTACAAGAATTGAAAGATCATTTTCTATAATTAAAACCTTGATGCAAAGACATTTATGCATACCAGCTAGGTGAGGGATAAATGATGGCATATTAAGCACCATAAAGTTAATGTTAATTACTAATGTCAACCATTAATTATGTACCTCTTAATGTGTCAGGACCAAATGAGAAACAGGCAGCTCTAAAATGAATGCATGCATTCATCAACTGACAAGTAAGTATGCATACGGTCCAAAGCCAGGTCTATTATTATTTGTTAATTTAGTATGCAAGAAGTACAGAAATTGGAATAAGCATAGAAATATACAACCACCGATTATTTTCTATAATACATTTCTCATGAAGTTTTGAATTTGGAATCTTAGTACATACAAAATAAAAGCCAACAAAAATAGAGATCCACACTTTTCTGATATGTGTTATGGTTTGAGCTTGGCATCAATGCCCATAGTTTTACCACCGTAGGAAGAGCTAAAGTTAGTACTTTATACAACGTCAGTCTTTTCCAGAGACATTTCAGTGGCATGAATTCAATAGCACACTCAATTTTCTTTGATTCCGCTACTACTGTTCCTACTACTTAATCTAATTTGGAAGTTGTGACTTTCTAAAGGTTCAATAGAGATGTGTCTGTAGGGAATCAACATTCTTAGAGAAATGGGTGGGAGGAGGGGCAGGAAGCATTAATAAATTTGTCTGGCAGTCTAGGATACGAGGCATTACTGCTCCTGGATGATCAACTAAATAACATGCTTATTAAAAACAATCTGTAGCAACGCACTATCATTCCTGCTCCATTTATCTCCTAGTCAACTCAATTGAGATTGTAGATTAAGGCACAGGCAGCATTATTACATTTGCTTTATTAAATTCTATAAACAGCAGTATAAAGTCAGAGTCAAGGTATTTATAAGACAATGGCATATAACAAGGACAGCCAGATGTCTCATAACCCTAATTTTGCTGGCAGGGCATAAGCAGGGTTGAAACAAAAAGGAATGTCAACATCAGTGAAGTACATCCCAACTATCCAAGAAATGACTTCAACAAAAAACTTCCAACAACTGAAAGCTAAAAACAACTGGAAAAAATATTTTCCACTCATACTGTTCATGTTTCCATTGATGTTTCTTACATGAAGACCAGAAATTGGTTATAATTTGTTGGGGATTATGTGATTTTAGAAGACACTTTTAGGCCACACAGCTATGCTTGTTTATGTGAAGCAAAGGGAAGGCAATTCATCATATTTTCTTTTCCTTTGATCAAATCTTACGTATGTTCCTTGGTTAGTCCATATAAAGCCAGTGATTAATCCTGTCTGAAAGAGAAGAGAGCAGGCCGAGGACAAAGCTAGACGATAGATGCTTGAAAGATCTGAACCCCAGGCACAAATCCCCGTGGTGACAAGCAGTGTGAAGCAGTTCTAGATGTCTGAAGAAGCTGGAGCATGCCCTAGAGGTACTTGCGGGGACTGGAGCCTGGCAATCAAGCAGCACAGCTGGAAACCCTGGAAGGCTCCATAAAAGGCTTCCTTACATTTTGCCGCAGCGCAATGGTCCTTCATGATAGTTACACCACACTCTGATCCTGCTTCCAATCTGCCTTGCCTTCAACCATGCACTGAATCTCGCCTACTCCTGTTTCCATCCTTGGCTCTGGTCTGACCCTACTTTGCCAGGTACCTTATTCCTCATCCTTTCAGGCCTAGTCTTGCTCCTGATCCTGCTCCGCCTTGCCAGTATACGATCTTGTTTCTAGACACTGCCCCTTTCTTTCTGACCCTGCCCATCCCAGCAATAGCTGTTTTCAGCTTGGACTTGCTTTCACCTCTGGCCCTCTCACTTCTTGCAGAGACTTCCATCCCTCTTTTGTACCCTGGTCCTGATGTTCCAGCCATAACTGCTGGCCACCTACACCCCAGCATTAACAGTTGGGTGCTTTCAATTCGTACATCTAGTTTTTAATCTTTCAATAGCATCCATAGTGTGTGAGGGAGAAAATTTATCTGCATGTCACAGTCCCAATCCACATCCTCACTGCCCCAACCACTATTCACTGGTTGAACAGTGGCAAGTTTCCACCACCAGCTACTCTTTAAATGTTTAAAACAACAGTGCATGAATTATATTCACACCATTAACATTATAGCTAATCCAGCCCTCAGACATTCCAACACTGCCTACAGATCCCATACCTTTGATGACTTCTGCATGCAAGGAAATTCTGAAAAGGAAATGCATTCAAACAAAGCAGTACCTTATGCACATCCTGAGATATGTAACAGCAGGGACAGACAATGTTATGTAGTTTGCTGAACATCTGAAATAGCTTTCAGTTTTCATTCTCTTATAACACAAGCCACAGAATGCTATACGACAAAGAACCTCTGGCACAAACTTTGGTGGCCACTATCCACTTCCATCAGGTACAACTGATAAATGCAGTGCAACTCCAGCATCCCAAATCCCAAGCACACTCTGTGGAAAGTCTGATGAAGTCAGTGGAACTTAATTCCAGTTAATACATTGAAGTCTTAAAATAGAAATTGTTCATCTTAGCTATATGGACAGAATGGTCAAAGTACAGCAATAATGCACTGTTCTAACTGAGCTAAAACATTTCCAAAATTAACAAGTAATGATATATTCTTTATTAGTTTAGCATTTTTCCAACTTGGCAATTGCTTAACAGCAAAATGATGCAAACACATTCATTTTAGGGGGAAAAACAGACTTTCAAAGAGTGCTGAGACACAGTGTATACACACAAATTTTTCTAATTTATACTTTCAAACAGGACAGGCTTCTTCAACCTACAAGAATAGTTTTTCTTAAGGATATGAGAGGCTGCAAGAGAAGGGGCTTTTTTTAAATCATGGGGTACACAGAAATATATATGCAACCCTTTTCATCTTGTCTGCAAACTGATAAATTCTCATTTATATATTATGACAAAAATGATAGTGCATGGCACACACAGTATATCACAGGGTCATTATCATAGCACTTAATATAAGTCCATTTGAAAGATTTACATGCTAAATGTGTTTCCTGTTGTCACTTCTCAGCACATGGAAATTGTTGGTACCTGCTCAGCAAATTAGGGTCCATCTGGCAGGCAGGCAAATGGTACGAGACTTACTAGATCTGAATCAAGTGGGATACTACAGACTTACAAAACAGGAGGATTTGGGTGACTTCCATACAAAGACACTGCCTATTTGGGTGAGGACTCAGTATGTACTATGGTAGCTGCCTGTAGCTGGAAGACTCCCAGGAACAGGACAAATCTCCATTATGCCACAGTGCTCGTGGGTATTATGCTGGAGACCCACATACTGCCACATAAGACTCAACACTTGTATTAGAAGGAAATCAAAGCTTTCAAATTCAGTTTTGAAAGCTGAAGCCCTGGTAGGTAGCCAGCTTCTAGTGTTTTCAAGCACAACATGTAGATCACTGTTTAATAGTCCCCGTCAGCCCATCATTACTACATCACCATTTTTAAGGGCAAGCAGAAGGACACATGTATTTATTCTCCTCCCTCACAAAAGGTTGTGCCCACCCCAGCCAAGTCATTCACCTTTCAGCACCATCTTTCATGCAGTCTCCTACTCCAGTTTTCCCTTTCCACAGCCACCATGTAGCTAACACTGCTTTGCCTACTGCCTATCATTTTGTTTGTTTGTTTCCCATTCTGTATTTTCCCTGTAGAAGTAGAGCCAGCTCAGGAAGGTCTTCTGGCTGGGCTTCAAAAGAATTCTAGACTGCACTGGTACAGGAACCTCTAAGAAGCTCAACCAGAAGTGATAAAATTGTTTTTTAAATAGTGAGATGATGATGAATAAGGTCCTAGGTCAGGGGTACACAACCTCTTTCAGCCCAGAGGTCAAACTCCATTTCAGAGAAACTCTAGGGGTCTTCATTCCTACATTGAGCAGGACGGAAGGTAAAAGGGTGGGTCCAAAAGCAAAAAACCCACCATATCTGAAGTTCTTACTATTGCCAATATCTTAAGCTTTAGATGAGGCACTGGAACCTTCAGGAGAGAGAGGAAGCTGCACAAAAGCTGAGAAAGAACCAAATGATGAGCAGTTGGGAGAAAGGGAATAGGACTAGAGAAAGAGCACTGCTTGCTGAAGATCCCCAAGTCCTCAGCAGGACCAGAGTGTGGGAGGAATTTAGAAGGGCCCTTACAGTAAGCTAGCTAGCAAGTTGCAGATTCTCAGCTGGGAAACAAACAAACAGATTTTCTTATAATATTACAAGGTATCTACTGCAGTAGATAAAAAGAGATTCATGTAGTATATCATCTCTTTACCAAGTGTTGTTTCAGAAGATATATAAGCAACAAGCAAAAGCAGTAAAGCTAATTTTCTGTCATTCAGGGATAACTGTAGACTTGCTAAGCCCATATCAGCAGCGCTCTCTCTCTCTCTCTCTCTCTCTCTCTCTCTCTCTCTCTCTCTCTCTCTCTCTCACACACACACACACACACACACACACAGAGAGAGAGAGAGAGAGAGAGAGAGAGAGAGAGAGAGAAACGAGAACTGATAGTTTATGAGATCAAAGCCACCATCAACAATGTGAACTCTGCCTGGTCATGTTAACAGGAAAATATTTTATGAGTTCCACCACTGGGCATCAATTTAACAAGTTCTAACACCAGCTAAGCTGTAAAACTGTGAAAGTAATTCATTTAGTGACCTGCACATGGGGGGAAGCAATATGTAGGTGAAGTGTCTCGCAGTGACAAAAAAAGAGAGCGAGCAAGCTTTGATTTGCACCATTCAGATGATTGAACAAAGAACTTCAGCAATCACTGCCAATAGCTTTTATTGCCAAATGCACTAAACATTCATTATTATACAAGTGAAACCTACTGATTTAGAGACCTGTTTGATAAAATAGAAGCAA